AGTTCCTAGATAGGGTGTGATTTCTGAACTCTATACCTCACTTTATCACATTCTCATCTTACTTGAGCATTGCAAATACTTCAAATGAAGGAATACAACTTAGGAAAAAAAATTCCAAACAATAAAATAACCCCAGATACATAAAACCTAATGTGGTAGTAATATAAAGAACATGAAAAACCAAGATAATACTACTCCTTCAAAAATTACTAATCCCAAAACAGAAATAAAAAGGCCAGGCAGTGGTGGCATATGCCTTTAATCCTAGCACTTGGGAGGCAGGCAAAGGCAGCAGATCTCTGTGAGTTCAAGGACAGCCTGCTCTACATAATGAGTTTCATGACAGCCAGGAATACACAGAGAAACCCTGTCTCGAAAAAGAAATTACTAATCCCACAGTAATGACCTTCAGTGAGGGTAAATTAGACAAAAATCTAAGACAAATAACTCAAAAGAAGGATCAGAAATACTTTAAAAAAAAACTCGACGAATAAAATCCCAAATGAATTCCAAGAGAACACACACACACAAAAATAGGTGAATGAGCCGGGCGTTGGTGGCGCACGCCTTTAATCCCAGCACTCGGGAGGCAGAGGCAGGCGGATCTCTGTGAGTTCGAGGCCAGCCTGGTCTACAAGAGCTAGTTCCAGGACAGGAACCAAAAGCTACGGAGAAACCCTGTCTCGAAAAATCCCCCCCCCAAAAAAAATAGGTGAATGAAATAGGAAGTTGATACAAGATATGGGCTAGGAATTCAATAAAGAAAAATACTGAAGAAAAATCAAACTGAAATACTGGAAATGAAAGCCAGAAAACAATGAAAGCTTCATAAACAGAAAGGACCCAGGAAAGAACAAACTATTTAAACCCAAAGACAGAGTAGAGGAATCAGAACAAAGGTAAAGATAAATTAGTCAGATGGTATAAATGGAAATTTCAAGACATTTGGGACACTGTGAAAAGAACAAATCTAGGACTCATGGTCAAGGGCAACACATTTCATCCTAAAGGTAGGTAGAGAAACAATTTCGACAAAATCATGGTTGAAAATAGGTAAAAAGATATCACTCCAGATACAGGAAAGATATAAAATACCAAGCAGACAAGACCACAAAAGAACTTCCCCTCGTTAAACTATAAGTGAATATACAGAACAAACAAAGTTTGTTGAAAGTGACAAGCAAGAAGAATCAACTCAGAAAGACCAGGCCCTTCAGAATTACAGCATATTTCTTGAAAAGGAACTTTAAAACCAGGATTGCTTGGAATGAGGTATTTCAGACTCTGAAAGAGAACAATGCAATCTAGGCTACTATACCCAGCAAAGCTATGTCAGCCCACACTACTATACCTAGCAAAGATACCTATCATAATGAAATGAGAAAGAGAAACCTCATGTGGCCACAGGGTCATTGACAGACAGACACATACACATGACATGACAAGAGTAGAAACTAGTCGGGAAGAGGAAGGTATTGATAGGAGTAGGAGGGGGCAAGAGAAGGAAATGGAAGATGAATATGATTGAAATAGATTTTTATACATGCATACAATGTCATAATGGAGCTATTATGTATAATTGAGATATAATGTAATAAAAACTTTCAGAGTGAGGCTATAGCTCAATGGTAATGAGCTTGGTGCTTTATGTGATTCCCCAGCAGACACCAACACACACATCCCACTTCAAGGCAGATTTCACTGGTGTCAAATTCAGAGCAAACAGCAGCCTTGGTGGATGCCTCCCCTCCCCCCCTCGCAGCCCCTACCCTTTGCAGCGTTAGTGACAAAGCCCAGGGGCTGCATCTTAGGCTAGCGCTGAGCCACTGGCCCATATTTCCAACTCTCCCATGCTTTCTTTTTTTTTTATTTTTTTTTATTTTTTTTTTATTTTTCGAGACAGGGTTTCTCCGTAGCTTTTGGTTCCTGTCCTGGAACTAGCTCTTGTAGACCAGGCTGGCCTTGAACTCACAGAGATCCGCCTGCCTCTGCCTCCCGAGTGCTGGGATTAAAGGCGTGTGCCACCACCGCCCGGCTCTCCCATGCTTTCTGAGGGCGAGAAAGGAGCTGTCTGTGAGGCAAAGGTGGCCAGTTCCAAACACACTAGAGGGTCTTGCAGAAGACTGAGAGCCATGTGGGACCAATTTTAGAAAGGGTGTGAACACAAGGAGACAGGAAGAGGCGAGCGAGGACACGGCAGGCAAAGACACTCTCCACTTTCTCGGGGTCTTTGTAAGCACAGCTGGTGGCTGGAGAGGGGCAGCCATGGCCTATAGATCAGGTCAGCAAGCCCTCTGCCTGCATGCTGTGCTGCACCATTGCCAAGGTGGGGGTGACCTTTATGCCTGCCTTGCTGGCTTCTGTCTCTCTCTGTTAGGCTTTGGGCCCTGGGACTGATGGAAGCATCTTGACTTCCTAGGTGTGTGACAATATTAGCTTTATATGGCTGTGTTAGAAACTTACAAACTACAGGGCTCCAGAAAACCAGGACTGACTTCTGTCTCAGTTCTAGAAGCCAGAAGTGCCGAGTTAATCTGTTGGCAGGTGGAGGCACTGGGTGGCATTTTGGTCCAGTCCGCCTCTCGCTTTGGTCATGGTGCCTCCGGCAACCTTGACAATACTTGACCTGTAAATTTACCCCTCCATCTTTGCATGGTACTTTCTGGTTTGTTCTTTGAAACATGGTCTTGCTCGACAGTCCAAGCTGTCTTGATCTTTCCCAGGTTCCATACATAGGACAGGAATGTAGATTAAGCCTCCGAAGTACTTCCGTAGCTAGAGACATAACCTGGGGAGCTCTGAAGCCTTTCTTGAAATGTTATTACCATCTGATATCAGGCTGGGCTGCTGGGTTTAGGGAGTTCTGGCACCATTTTTCCTCAAGTAACTGGTGCCTTTTCTAATTTGGTTACGAATGTGACGCGAGTCTCTAAGAGCTCATCTCTGTGCATGCCCGTCACATCCCTGGCTGGCCTTTCTGTAAGGAGTGGGGGTGATGCAGAACTCTGCCTGGAAGTTGACTATAGCCTGTCAGCTTCTCTCACTCCTATTCAGCCAGATGGGTGGGAGCCAAACCCCAACAGCTCTCTTGACCTCTGCTGGGATCTTGCTCAGCTCTTGCTGGCCTGTGGGCACTGTTCCAGTAGAGGCCATTTGGACCTCTTCAAGAGCAGTTTGTCACCGCCTTGATCTTTCTGTTTATCTTTCCAGAAATATCTGCAAGGGCCAATCTTCAGACCCATGAAACATCTTTTAAGACCACTGGGACACTGGGGTAGAGGAGTCATGGAGAGCCCTTCTGCAATTTTTCTATGACTCTGATAGACCATGATGCCGGAAAATCAGCCTGTGTGCCCCCATCAATAAACACCATTCTGTTCAGGCCAAGGCTGCTGGTGGAGGTCTCATCTTGCAGAAAGTTGGTACATTTGTTGACAGGGAGGCAAGACAGACCCCAGCGTCTGCTCACAGGCAGGATCTGGGATTCTATGTAGAATGGGGTTACTCCATTTTCCTCCAAGGTAGTGGTTCTCAACCTTCCTAATGCTGCGACCCTTTAATAGAGTTCCTCATGCTGTGGAACTCTATAAAATTATCCAACCATAAAATTATTTTGTTGCTATTTCATAACTGGAATTTTGCTATTGTTATGAATCATAATACAAACCTGTTTTCCTATGGTCCTGTGAAAGAATTGTTTAACCCCTCCACCAGAGGTCATCACCCACAGGTTCAGAACCTCTTCTTGAAAGGCTATTGGAAGTGTTGATAACTTCAGACTTGAGGTACAGTTAATTATCCTGCCCCTGGGTCGTATCACTGACCTGGGTTTGGACAGACCTGGCCCTTGCATGCAGAAGCCTGGTGAGGAGGCAATTTTTGCCTGAAAGTAAGAGATGCAAAACAGGCTATGAATATACGCATGCGTGTAAGTTTCCCAAACAGGGCCGGCAGACAATGGAAGAGACCATAAACTGGAACCTCTTAGAGGCTGGACTTAGTCAAATACCAATAGAAGCCCTTCCTGGGAAGGGCGGATCCAAGGTCAATCTATGTACTTGTGGAGTGGGAATGGGGTTAGGGCATCTGAGACCTCTCAGGATCCAAGAGTGAGGGTGCAGCTCTTTTGGTCCTTCAGGGTGATCACTGTCCAGCCCGCCAATCGGTGAATGGAGCAGTGAGAGTCTACTCTGAGCAACCCTGCAGGCCGGAGTCACACTGAAACATCGTATTGCTCAACGCCCCTCCTTGGCTGGCCATTTGCAATCTCTGTCAAGTGAGCCTTGCTCTGGGAAGCGTTAGGGTGACTTGCTAGAGGTATTGTCAAAGGTAATGTCAAAGGACAGTCGGATATGACAAGGCTCTTCCCAAGCCACCACTATCAAAGGAAGAATCCATATCCCGTGCCCACTTTCACCAGCTTCAGCTTCCTTATTAGCAGGTTCTGAGGGCAAGGCTAGAGGCAGCTAAGAGTGTCACCTCCTCTACATGCCATACAAAGGTCGGGTCCAGCTGCCCCAACCTGCAATCCCAGCAGGCTAAGGGGCTTAAAACGGGGGTATGGGTATAGGTGAGAACCAGGGCCCGGCAGAGCAGGCAGGACTGGCTAGCTACCCTATTGCCATCTCCCCCACCTGCAGGGTCAGGACTAACATCCTATGTGGTTCCTCTTTCTCCTCCTTAGCCAAGGCTATGTTCCTTGCCCAAACTAGACTGCCCCATGCTTGAGGACTCAGCTGCTACTCCGAATCTTGCAACTGCCTGCCTGGCAACTGCCTGTGGGCACCCGATTCCACTAAACCAGGACTTCCCACCATGGTCCACACAGGCCCCTTCTCCCCCTCCCCCCCGCCCGTGGCCTGATTGGACAGTGAAGGCAACTGTACCACTGGCACCTCTCTATGCCCGCGGCGTCTAGTTTTGTCAAGCCCCAGGAATGCAGGGGGTTCAAACTCAGAGGAAACTGACCGTCTAGAAACCACCACAAACTGAAGTAGTCTCAGGAGACTTTAATGAGAGTGTCCGTGGGTCCTTCCGGCACAGGGGTAGTACAGACAGCTGAGCTCAAAAAAGCAAGATTGCAGCTAAGAAACCATCCACCCGCTGGGGAGGCCAGGTTACCACCATGAAGCCACGCCCACTGTACCCCGGACCCAGGTTCCAAGGTAAGAAAGTAGCATTTCTTCCTTTAGAGTCTGGCAGCCGTGCTTGGTGCACAGTCATGATGGACTCTGGGCCATCACTCTCTCTGCAGAGGGAAAGCCAGGTTATCCCGCTCCTGCAGAACACCATGCCTTTTCCATGCCCCACCGTGGCTTTGCCAGCCTACAGGCCTGCAGGGTGTGAGACAGTTAACAGAGACAACCCCAGCCAGTGCCATCATGGCCGGATGGCGGAGGAACACTTTTAGAACAATGCAAGAGTGACCATTCCATCATCAAACAACACCTCTATAAATAAAGAGCAACGGAGGAAGGAGAGGCCGAGGGAACGCAAATTGGCACGTTGCTATATTGCTTTCCAGTTCAAGGTGACAGAGGCAAATCAAGAGACAACAGAGGGAGCAGAAGCAACAGCTGGGTTTGGCTTTTCTCAGCAGGGTTCCCATCTCAGTGGTCAGCGCCACTGAGATGGACTGTGATGGAGGAGCCCACTGGGTTCAAAAATGCTCAAGGGCAGACCAAAGGGTGGCTCTGCTGAGAAAAAAAAAAAAGGCCAACTAAACAAATACTGTATGCAGACGGAGACCCTGCAGGGCCTTTTGTTTCCTGCCCAATACATTGAGCAGGTTCAAGAGCAGACGGTAGGGGAATACATGGCCCTGCCTCTTGGGAATCCCCATGGGTTGTGGAGTTGGCAGATGCTGTACGTGGACATACCCACCACCTTCCACACGTGGGAGGGACCGTGGGGTATGTGACCAGGTGCAAGAGTCCTCTGTGACAAGCAATCTATACCCCCCAAGTCATGCCCTACTGCAGGAGCAGTTTGGGATTCAAGTCTACAGTCTTTCTTCTCTCCCTGTCTACTCCACACTCCTGTCCCAAAGCCCTGCATTGGAGCCTTGGCTGGACCAATAAGCTCTATGCTGCCAACGGCTGGTCTTGAACTCACGGCAATTCTGCCCCAGCCTCCCAAGTGTAGGATTCTAAGACCTTTTTAAAATCGATGCAAGGATTTGTGGATTTCTTCCTTGAAAATAATTGGTGGTATCTCCTTTCTCTTTTTACTCTCTAGGGTGGTCAGGAAGAGACTATCCCAACTCTCGCCCGAATACAGGCTTTATTTTTCCCAGATGTTCTCGGAAGGTGGGTTGGCTTCCAATCTGCTTTGGGGTGTCTGCTCCCACCCCAGGTCTGACTTTCCTTACCTTCTTCCCATGTTTCTGATGTCCCAGAGACATCAGAAATGACTCCAAGCAAAAAGAAAGCTGGCTCTCGAAGGAAGACAGAATGCTGTGTGGGACACTGCCCGTTCATTTCACGGTGTACATTCTAGTATCTTATATTAGGTGTCTGAATCCATTAGGAAAAAAATTAGAAACTATGTATAAAACTTAAAAATATTCAAGTATCAAAAGCTAGTTCAGATCAAAGTTTTAAAACAAGCCACTAGAGCAAGTTGCTGCTTCGGAGCAGAAACCTCTACAAAAGTTAACTGAGTCTGCTCAGTTGAGGGCAAGGAAAGGATGGGATCACGTGATGTTTATGTGGGACAACAAGGGACAGAGAGAGTAGTCAGAGCCAGGCCAGAGAAGTCACAGCCTTTGTCAGCCAAAAGGGAGACAGGTGCCAGGTAGGCGATGGGGATCAGTGGACACGGCCACTCTCCCTGCAGAAGGAACCGTAAGGTGCATGGCCAGGACCTCCTTTCCCCCTGTGTCTGGTCCCCGGACACTTCTGGGCTGCGATGGAGCATACTCCTGAGAACTGCACAGCTAGCAAAAACAAGAGTATCAGCCAACAGGAGCCTGACCTACTTCTGCACAGACAGCCTTGGAGGAGGACAAAGCAAGCAGCAAGGAGTCAAGAGGCTACAGCGCTGGCTCGGCGTCTCAAGCCCTGGTACACAGACAGTGGAACTCCAAGTCAGGGAAATGGAGATATCCCCACCCACACAGGGACATGGCTGTGGCCCCCACAATATGAAGCAGCAGCAGTGTTTATTCAAGACACAAGAGTGAGGGATCTGGTGGTGTCCCCATTCCCCAGAGAGGGTGCATCGGAACAAATGATCCAGTAGAGATTTTTTTTTTTTTTCTTAAAACTCTTATGATAAATTAGATTCGTAAAAACCACTCTCTTCGTCACCTTTCCCTTGTATGCAGGCTGGCGGATGGGCTGGCCTGGGGTGCCCTCTGGCGGCAACAAGGGAAGAGTACAGTCTGGGGCCAGCCTGGGACTTGCAGACACACCTGCATGGTTTGTATAGGCCCCCTTGGGCCTTCAGCTTTGGGTACTTGTCTCTTGACAGATGGCCCAGGGCTTGGGAATGGTTAAATTACACCACAAGAAGAGTCCCGTTCCCACTCCGGGGATGGATTCTCTCGTCACAGGTTTCCAGGTCATTCTGAGGGCCTCTTAATGAGACGACTGATGCCAGGCCTTTAGACTTCGGTGGAGAACAGGATGCTCTGTCTCTTGCTGTCCGGGGCAGGGATGGCCTCCAGCTGCAGGAAGTACAGCAACACTTGGACCTGTCCCGGCAGAGAAGGGAAGGGCAGACAGGTAAGAGGGTGTACTGGGTTGGGGTTGGGGAGCTCACCTTGGCTCACCCAGCTCAGGGGCTAAGAGATCCTGTCAGTGACAACAGCCCCACACATCAATACACCCCAGATTAGGAGGGTGTCCGACTACACATGATGAAGTCTTAAGACCTAGGCTATGTGCACTCCAAAGACCAGCAGGTGGGCTGGGTCTTGGGCCCTGCAAATCTAGTCAGGTGCAGAGGGAATTGAGGTAGCCAGGGTCCTTCATTCTTGGCCCTCTCAGGGGTAGGGGGTAGGCCTCTGCAGTAGAGCTGGGAATGACTAACAAGACCCAGGCTGGGGTAGGCTGAGACCACCTGTATCAAGCTAGGGTAACACTGACTACAGTCTTTCCTCTACCTGGGACATGACCTCCAGGGACCAGCTGTCAGTCATGGTGATGGGCTGGTTGGGGTTCGAAGGAAGCTTGCTTTCCTTCTCTGAAGGTCGAAGCAGCGTGGGGCCAAAGACTGTGGCGAGGTTATGCAGGGACATCTTGTTCACTGGCTCCTTTTCAGCCACCCTGTGTAAGGCCAAAGCAGAGGATCCTGTTTCAACATCACCACACTCAGGGCAGAGGTAAGGATTCCACCCCAGGGTCCGAGAAGCCCAGGATCAAGAGAACTCAAGACTAGTGGGCAGCTGGGACAGCTCTAGAGCCACGATCTGGGAGTAAAGGACAAGTTCAAGTGCAATTCTGGCTGTTGACTTAATGTCACGGTGCAGAGGGACAGGGTGGCAAAGGCTCTGGCCCCTAGTGTGGGAAACAACTGCAGACCTGGGAGGAGAAAAGGCCCTTGGTGTCCCGTTTCCTGGGGTCTTGGGCTGCATGGGAGAACAGGCACTACCTTTTCAAGTGGTCCAGAAGGAAAAGGAAGGTCACTAGGTTGGCCTCTGGGAGGGACAGCAGCAAGTTGAGCATGCAGCTCTCTTTTGCAACAGGGTCTGAAAGAGCTACAGAGAGAGGAAGCTTAGTTTCCAGGGTCATGTATAGCACAAGCCAGAGACCTCTCCTAAGCATGTCAGATAAGGTATCCAAAGCCTAGGAGGGAAGACACCATGGAGTTCAGACCCATCACTGTCTGGGTTTACACAGCTTAGATTAACCCCCACTGAGAAGGACCCTGTGGCGGCTGTTTATATGGCATGGGAGATACCCGGAAAGCCTTCTCTCATCTCAAAGGGTCAACAGCACCCTAGGCACCTGTTCAACAGGCATCCTGATGGCTGCTGCTTGTGCTCAGGGCCACTTTCTGCTGCTGTTAAGACCTACAGAGCCCAAACTCTGAAGGAAGCACACAGAGTCGGGATAAAGAGAACTGGGGGGTTGAAAGGCCTCTGCCCCAGTCCCTGGGAGTTTCCCTTTTTTCATGTGCACCCAAGGGGCACTTGGTGAACTGGCCCTACAGGCTGGGTCATCCTAAGGGCGAGGCAGGAGCTATGCTGGTCTGTGCCAGTGGCCACTTTGAGTACCATTCTTCAAGTTGACTTGAACCTCTGCTTGTCTGGGCCAGGACCTGGGGTTTAAGTGTTAGGGGTTCCTTTTGGCCTGGCACGCCATCCATTCAATGCTGCTCTACTAAAAGGGATGCTGTAGCTATCAGGGTCCCACAGCTGGATACAACAGTGGAGACATTGATACCCTCTGGCCGTACTGAGAGGAGAGGTAGCTTCAGACAACCCACAGATGGCTTGGCTTTTGTTTCCTACACAGCCAGCTCTCTTAGGTCGGGTTCCAATATGGAAGAGTAGAGGGGAATGGTCCTGATTCCCTCTCCTAACAGTGGCAGTAGAGAGAAGAAGGAGGGGGATGCCTCCCGCAAGGCCGAGGCCAGCAATGCTCACCGATGCCCTCTGCGAAGTTGGGGTAGAACTCATCAGTGAAGAGGGGCTCGGGCAGCTCGCGGAAGTAAAGCTTCAGCGTGCCGGCAATGGCATTCACGTCCATCTCGCTCATCATCACGGATACATCCTTATTATCTGGAAAGAACATAGAAACGGAGCCTTTATGTAGGCTGGGCTTCTGCAACCCTGCCAAAGCTAATGTGACCATCACCATGTTGCTAAATGTAAGTGCCCAGCCCCTTTATGTAGTCTGTCCTCTTTCTCCTAAGTGTCTGTGTGATGGAGTCTGGGCAGAGTTGCTGGGAAACAAGAGTATCTCACACCTCTGCCCATGTCTCTGCTCTGTGCTGCGAAGGGCAGTCCAGCTGCAGAGCCACCGAGGTGCAGAGCCAGGCAGGCCAGGGCAGGAGAAGGCAGAGCTCATGGAGCCTAGGTAGGAATCGGGCAACTCTGTTCCGTACCAAACAGCTGCCTGGGTGGCAGCTTCTTTCGACAGGAAGGCCCTGGGGTTATTAAGGTCATTTCTGTGGTCTTACTAGGAGTTTTCTTTGGACTTAGGTGGCCACTGGTCCTGTGCACTGGACAGCAGGCCTGCTCTGGTTGTCCAGAGAAGCTGAAGGTACAGCAAGGCTCATCAAAGGGTGCTTGATGGCCCAGGTCAGGAAAGCAAGGCTCATCAAAGGGTGCTTGATGGCCCAGGTCAGGAAAGCAAGGCTCATCAAAGGGTGCTTGATGGCCCAGGTCAGGAAAGCAAGGCTCATCAAAGGGTGCTTGATGGCCCAGGTCAGGAAAGCAAGGCTCATCAAAGGGTGCTTGATGGCCCAGGTCAGGAAAGCAAGGCTCATCAAAGGGTGCTTGATGGCCCAGGTCAGGAAAGCAAGGCTCATCAAAGGGTGCTTGATGGCCCAGGTCAGGAAAGCGGCACAAAGACTCTGTCAAGTCCTGCTTCTATTTTCTTGTTCTCTGGGGATGCTGGGTAAGGACCCTGTGCTGGTTGGTTTTCGTCAAGGTGAAACAAACCTAGATATACCTGGAAGAGGGAACCTCAACCGAGAAAATTCTTCCATAAGATTGGCCTGTAGGCTGGGCGGTGGTGGCCCATGTGTTTAATCCCAGTACTCGGGAGGCAGAGGCAGGTGGACCCCTGTGAGTTTAAGGCCAGCCTGGTCTATAGAGTGAGTGCCAGAATAGGCTCCAAAGTAACAGAGAAACCCTGTCTTGAAAAACAAAAAAAAAGAAAAAAGAAAAAAAAAAAAAAGAAAAAAGGCCTGTAGGCTCTTCTTGAATTTGCAGCAATCCTTGTGTCTACCTCATGAATACTGGGATTATAGGTACTAATTATCAACCATCAATCAATCAATCAATCAATCAATCATCAATCAATCATCTATCTATTTGACACAGGAAATCACGATGAGGCTAAAGCTAGCTTGGAACTCATGTAGTCCAGGCTGACAGTAGCTACTCCTGGCTTATCCTCCTGGATGTTAAAGCACAGGCTCATATTGCCGCATCCAGTTTCCGCCTTGTACTCTTCAATAATAAAACAGAAAGGAAGGAAAAGAGAGAGACTGATGTTCTAGGCCCCCTGGGAGTCTCAGTGTGGACACCACCATCTGTCCCACACTGCTAGGCAATACTCACTGACATCAAAGGCTGCCTTCAGTGCCTGGATGTCTGTGGCCACTCCAGACACTCGGTAGATGCCCACTTCCTCCATGCCCCGGCGTTCAATCTCTTCCACACACTGGCGTACAATGTAGGGTACCTTGGACCTCTCTCTCCTGCAGGGGGAGAGGAAGGTGTGTACAGTTCAAGGTCACACATGTAACCTTGGGCAAGTTTTCCTTCCTGCTGAGTTCTTAACTTTCTGAGAACCTGAAGCAGCCAATCATATTGTTAATTATATATAATGCTATGGGAAGGTCAGGAGGCTTTGCTATTTTCTTCCATGGTGCTGGAAGGGCACACATGCATACCTCACAGATGCTGGGAAAGTGCTCTGAGCTCATCTTCAACCTAGGAGCTTTCCTAGGCAATAATGTCCCAGGAAGTACAGCTCCTAGGCTGTGAATGGACCAAAAGCTTCCTGGAATCCTAAAAAACTCTCACCTCTAAGACAGGAAGTGGGGCAGGGTATTGGCCCAGGCGCCTGCACGCTGTGCAGTGAATCCCTTGAGGCTCCTTGAGAGCTAAGGTTTGCATAGGGTAAACACCTTGCATTTGTTGTGTGTTGGATAGTTTTAAGTTAACTTGACACAAGCTGGAGTTATCTGAAAAGAGGGAACCTCAATTGAGAAAATGCTTCCATAAGATCTGGCTGTAAGGCACTTTCTTAATTAGCTGATTGATAGGGAGGGCCCAGCCCATTGTGGGTGTTTCCACTCCTGGGCTGCTGGTCCTGAGTTCTATAAGAAAGCAGGCTGAGGGGCTGGAGAGATGGCTCAGTGGTTAAGAACATTGCCTGCTCTTCCAAAGGTCCTGAGTTCAATTCCCAGCAACCACATGGTGGCTCACAACCATCTATAATGAGGTCTGGGGCCTTCTTCTGGCCTGCAGGCATACACACAGATAGAACATTGTATATATAATAAATAATAAAATTTTTTTAAAAAAGAAAGAAAGCAGGCTGAGCAAGCCATGAAGAGCAAGCCAGTAAGCAGCACCCCTCCACTACCTCTGCATCAGCCCCTGCCTCCAGGTTCCTGCCCCGACTTCTTTCAGTGATGAACAGTCATATGGATACACTCTGTCCTCCTTAAGTTTCTTTGGTCATGGTGTTCATCTCAGCAATAGCGATCCTGGGACATGCTGCACGTACCCAGGCACCTTGCCATTTTAAAGGCTTTCTCTTATGACAGCCTCTGGACCTCCTGGTACAGCTCTGGAAGGAGAACGCTTTGAAGCTAGAAACCACTGCTGTGTGGAGACACGAACTTGGCTTCACTCATAGCCGGACTCAGACACACACAACCAGGTCCCTTCCAAGCCCCAACCCCATAGTTACATGGGGGAAGAGAGGGGCGTGTCATCCTCATTTTCTGGAACAGCTTGGAAGCGGAATCTCTCAGAGGACAAGAGTGTGCTTGGACACATGTCAGCGCCGGACAATGAATGGTGCAGCCAATATTCCATCCTGGGGAAGTGGCTGAAGTCTGGGAGGAAGTGGCCTGTATCCCCAAGAATTGCCCTCAAACCAACAAACAGGCATCTCCTGGCAACAGGCTCATAACAAGAGGGCCGAGGTTCAAATTGTTCAACAGGAACTCGGGATCACAACATATCCCAAGCGAGGGAAGCAAGTCCTGCACTTGGGCAGTTCCTGACCAGGAGGTGAGACATTCCTGAGCTGGTTTTGCAATAAACACAGGAGGTGGCTAAGCAAAGACTTGTAGTCTTCCCTGGGGCTACCCCTCTCTCCATAACCCCCCCCCCCCCGCCCCCCAAAAGGCAGCCAGCAGGGCCAGGCACTAAGAGAACAGGCCTTTCCCTCAGACCTGCCTGCAGCATGCCTTCACAGACAAGCCCACATCACCCGCCACTCACTTTGTGACCACTGCAATCTTGACCCCGAAGACCCCAGTCTGTTTGCGGGAAGGCATTCTCTTCAAGCTGAACTCCCTACTCGTGAACTTGACGGAAAGTTTCACTTCGATCTGCGATAGAAAGAGAGGGCATGGGTCTTTCACCCTCTGGACCTCTTGGGTCCAGAAGGTCCTAGCCCAAGAAACCTTTTCACCCCCAGGGCAAATAAATCAAGGCCACATAATGAGGTGTTGGAGTAAGAGTCTTTTTTTTTTTTTTTTTAATGTGCACTGGTGTTTTGCCATGGGTATTGGACCCCTGGAACTGGAGTTTACAGACAATTGTGAACTGCCACGTGGGTGCTGGGAATTGAACCTGGATCCTCTAGAAGAGCAGTCAGTGTTCTTAACCCCTGAGCTGTCTCTCCAGCCCTGTTCCCCTTTAGTTTTTGAAGTAATAATTAAAAAAATAAATAAGTGGGGTTGGAGTGAGTAGCTCAGCGGTGGTGCACAAACTTAGCACGCACAAGGTACAGCCTTCAATTCAAAGTATCAGAACAAAGCAAAAGAAAACAAAACAATCAAACCACCGCCACCCCTCAAAGAAGGATCCACAGCAAAAGCAACAGGTCAAGCATCTGCATCTGGAAATCTAAACTGTTACCAAACTGTAAAGTCCCTGAACTCCGTGATGCACGTGCAGGGTTCTGCACCCAACTGACCTCCCTGCTAATGAGTTAAGATGCATAAGATTACCCCCCACAGCTATGCATGTAAGTTATATATAAAATAATAATAAATTTCATATTTATGTTTGGGCCTGTGTCCAAGACTGCTTATATGCCTGCAAATCATCAGAAAAAGGGGGGAAAATCTCTAAAACTGCTCTAGTCCCAATCTTTTTGGCTCCATTTCCCTGAGACAGCCAAAGATGACCGCAGTGGATCTGAAGTGTTCTGTGAGATGCCGTCCCAGGGCTCCTAATACAGATCTTTTCCTTCAGGATGGAACACGCAGGGTCTGGGTGGCAACCTGTGTATGGCGTGTCTGCTCTGGAGGTCTCCCCTTCTGCCGTGTACACAGCACTCCTGTGGGGTACCCCTTCCTCCCACCTACAAGGCCTCCTCTGGAGCCTGTTCTCCAGCTAATATCTCAGGCTTAGCCTTCTTCTGACTGTTCTGGATGGAACTGGGTCTGCTTTAACTTTCAGTGGGAGACAGGCGCAAACAGAGCCCCGTGGGCACTTACCCCATTCATGTCGATGACAGTCCGTTGCCAGTCTCTGTCCTGTAGCGTTTGGGGGTCCAACTGAAACCAAGGATGAATGATTAGAAGAGGCCCTCAGGACTGCTTGGAGGCTCTGCCCAGCAGTGGCCACACCTGCTGCTGTCCTATACTCTCTGATGGCAGCCGGAGAGGCGGACTGACCTGTTAGACAGTTCTTGAACCTCAGAGTGCCAGAGCTCACTGCCATGAGCCCTGCTCTCCACCCCTGCCACAGATGGAGCCTACGTCCTTGTATTTGTCAGAGGGGCTTCCAGATCTGAATGCAGGGCAGTCTGGGATGAAAACTAATTTCAGTGGGGACTGTGGGAGGGCGGAGCATCAAGAGCATCAAGGCATAGAGCGGCACCCCAAAATCAGACGGAAGCCTCACTGTACCCTCCCACTTTGACCTCTGCAGAACGCTGTCTGGCAGTCGGTCTATAGGACCCTACTGTATGTCACCTGAATAAGCAGTCTTCAAAACTGCCACGTGCCCCCCATCTATGGCACTGCTTCCCCTGCCTGATGAGTACCCCTTAGCTATCACAGGGAGCTTCGGAGAGGCCACTAGCTAGGCTACATAAGCAACCGGAGGGCTTCTGAAAACACACCATGAACTGAGGGTGGCTCTGTGGGAGAGCTCTTGCTGGTGTGTACAAGAATATTGGATTTCTCCGGGCAGTAGTGGCACATGCCTTTAATCCCAGCACTCGGGAGGCAAAGGCAGGCGGATCTCTGTGAGTTCGAGGCCAGCCTGGTCTACAAGAGCTAGTTCCAAGACAGGCTCCAAAGCTACAGAGAAACCCTGTCTCGAAAATCAAAAACTAAAACAACAAACAAACGAACAAAAAGAGCCTTGGATTTTTATCTCTAGTACCCCAAATTCAGAGATTAAAAAAGAACCACCACAGCTTCCCAGGCTCTTTACACAAAGAATTAACCTCTTTTCAGTGTGGGAATCTGTGGTGTGGAGAAACTCCCGTTCTTGCCTCCTACTTCCTTGTAGGAATCCCAGGGCCCACCTCTCTTGGTTGCCCAAGGACAGCAGCGTCCCTTCCTTCTTCAGAAGCAAGTTGAGAAAGACAAACCTTCCCTTTCCATCCCAGGACAGATAACGGGGACCCCCTCATCCCTAGAAACCCAGAACAGGCAAAGGTGATGAGTGATAGCATTCTTCTAAGACTGGGAGAGCAGCCACCTGAGCCATGGGTGCCTGGAACCCACCCTTCCCAGCCCACCTGGGACCCCAGGCCCTGACTGGCCCACCTTGCCCTTGCACACCAGACATCGGATGTGGGTCCACAGGGCAGTGCCTCGGGCACACAGCTGTTTTTCAGCAGAGGCTATCCGGCTGCGGCTTGCCCGGCTGGGGTAGAAAAACCGAATGAGACCCTGCATGGCGATGGGGGTCAGGCGGCAGGAGGCTTGAGGAGCTGAACAGCAGCACAGTGGCAAGCTCCTTGCCTCTGTCTCCTTTTGAACAGGCTCTCCCGGGTAAGCTCCGCCCTACAGTGGGGCCAGCCAAGGTCCCAGCTTCCCATCATCCTCACATTCCACTTTTGTTTTTTGGTCAGTATATGGGAAAAACAGCTCCCGCTCCGGGGCCTATTGGTTACGGGAACTCCAACATGTCATAGTCTCCTCTTATGCCGGAGTCTCCTTTTCGAGTGGGTGGTTTCCTGTGTTCAAATTTAGAGACACTGAGTAACGTGCGTTGTTGCTCAGTCCACTTCAGGCTGGTAGGGTCCTGTAAGAATGCTTCCAGGCCTGCTGACAGTTCTAAATCGCATATACTGCTGTCAATGGGACTGGAGCAGAGAGCATCCTGAGTGTAGACCCTGTCCCCTGTAGACGAGCTTCCAAGGACTTGCTGATCTAGACCCTGCCCACTCCTAAGCACCGAGGTCTAACTGCCCAGAGCTGCTGGTGTCAGGCTAGCCCGACACCAGACCCCCATCTGTAGCTTATGCTGGTGTCTAGACACTCGGTTCCACAGCAGCCTCGAATAGGTGGATTTGCCTCAGAGAACAGAATGTACTTAGCAGAGCAGAAACCATGTAAAGAATAACAGGATAAGGAGGGCTGGGCTATGTGGCAAACAGCAGTCCAGGCTGGCGCACCTTCCCATGGGCTACCCCGCTAATGGGAGCCAAGGCTGGCACCCTTTCCCATGCCGTTACTTAAAGTTCCAGAGAAACAAACCAGCAAGAGACCAGGATTTGGAAAAACTGATGACCGAGGGGCACGGGCTATTAAACAGAAGCGCAGGGCAAAGCTAAAGCCCTCAGGGCCGTTGGGGCTGTAAGGTACCACAGTTCCACACAGCCACTGGGCAGCCAGCACGTGCGTGCTCATACAGTGGTCTCAGAAGGGCAACCTGTAACACCACTGTCTCACTGGGACTGGACCGGGAGGAACACAGAAGGGCAGCTGTGGTCAGTGGATTTGGTGGACGGCTACCCAGGAGCCTGCCTAGAAAACTGCTTAGTACACACCAGGACAGGCTGGGGCGTGCCTCAGTTTAACCAGGGCAGCACTGAATGGGACCTGGAACCTCCTCTGCCTATGGTTGGAAAGCAGTCATCCATACTGACTCATACCAATGCCAGGGGTCACAGTGGCACCAACCACAATAGCCTAATAATCAGAGAAAACAAAACTGTAGGCCATGGCAGAGTAATCTTATTTAGTTACTTATTAATAATATTAAGAAGCAGATAACCCTTAAAAACAACAGTCAGCTGGGTGGTAGTGGCACACAGCTTTAATCCCAGCACTGGGGAGGCAGAGGCAGCTGGATCCCTGTGAGTTCGAGGCCAGCCTGGTCTACAGAACGAGTTCCAGAACAGTCAAAGCTACACAGAGAAACCCTGTCTCGAAAAACCAAAATGGTCACGGAAGATTACCTCTGGCATGATTCTGTTGATATAAAATGTGCAGAACGAACAAACTGAAGACAAAAACTATTATGACCCAGAAGGCTCTGTGGGAACCTGAGTCATAACCCCAGCTGGACTCAGAAGGTTAAGAGAGATGGCACAAGAGGGGAACATGGGAAAAGACAAGATCCTATGACTCGATACGATGTTTTTCCCCAAGAAAGAACTCTTGTAATTCATCATCTATGGGAACTCACCAGCTTAGAAAGTCTGTGAGTGGAAACAAGGGAAGGGAAGAGGCAGGGAGAAATCTCTGATGGGTACAAGACCCCAAGAGTCCTAGGCTTTTCTGAGTCTGACAGTTTCCTTTGAATGGTGGCTCTAGCTGAGGATGGTGCTCTCTGGATCCTGTCCCTGTCCTGACCACATCCTACCAGGCTACAGAATGGCATCCTCCCAGCACAGGCATCTCCACAAATCCTGGGCTACTGCTGGCCTTGGGGTGTAAAACTTGATGTCATTACCTTGGGAAGCCTCTCTCTGAAGATAGGACACCTAGTGTCCCTTCCTGTGAAGGTTTCCCTATGCCCTGATCTTACCCCACCATCACTGCCCCCTGAGCCAGTGTGACCTTGTCAGTAGGCTGGCCCTGGCTTGTGGTGCATCTGTAGTCTTGAGTCTCTCTACTCTGGATCACAAAGCTCGGGGGATAAATGGCTTCATGTTATGGCATTTTTGGAGCCTGGCATATAGGTCCTGCCTCATGAGGGCAAAACAACAGGCTCTTGTGTATGATGGCCTCGTTTGCTTGGATAATCCACAGAAGCTTGGGACCATCATGAGGGCAAAACAACAGGCTCTTGTGTATGATGGCCTCGTTTGCTTGGATAATCCACAGAAGCTTGGGACCATCTTGAAATGGACTCTAGCCAAGGTCCTGTGTACATACTGTACGTGAGGTCTCACATTTTCCTTGCTGGGTGACTCTTTGAAGAGCTGGCACCATCCTGGTGACTGCGTCCCAGACCAGTGCCACCACACCCCTCCCTCTTTCTGACCTGTGGCTCTAATGTATCTAATTCAGAAAGAGGGAACCCTCTACTCTTTCTCTTGTGGAACTCTATCTTCAGGAAGAGCAGAAACCAAAGATTTCGAGACAGGGTTTTGCTGTAGCTTTGGAGCCTGTCCTGGAACTAGCTCTTGTAGACCAGGCTGGCCTCGAACTCACAGAGGTTTGCCTGCCTCTGCCTCCTAAGTGCTGGGATTAAAGGCATGTGCCATCACTGCCCGACCAGGTTATGGTTCTTGAAGTAAGTGTTCGATAACAACATTTATGGAGCAAAAAGCATGCTGAGGCAGGCTCTTAACCTCAGAAGAATATGACACCTCCTGTCCTGGGATGTGCATAGACCATACCATGAGAGTCCCAGGTTCCATTCTGACCTTTGCCTTGGGCCCTGCTCTCCTCCCTGGGACTGGACTTCTCTTCCTGTCCTCCCTTGGATATCCAAGACTGTGACATCATCTCAGTGCAAGGTCATATTATCTCAGGTCTCTCTACTCAGTGTCTGAGCCAAGGTTGCCATCCCTATCAACCCCCAGCAGCAGGAAATGGACAGCTTGGCATCCAACCCACACGGCACACATGGAAGGCACTGATGCCAGTGGGGAAGCCTGGGCTAAGGGAGGCTAGCCTTAACAAGTCACAGATGGCTCTCCTAGGTACACCTAACCCAGACAACAGCATCTGCAGGTGAGAAAAAGCCAGCAGGCAGAAGGATGGAGCCAGACTGGAGCATCACCATGTCACAGCTCCTCCTCCTGTTTCCTTCCTCCTGAGATCACACGAATAAGCCCTCGTTGCCAGGAGACAGGGCAGCCACTGTGTAGGCGGGTATGAGTCATCTAGACCCGTACAAGCATTTGGGTTCCTTCCTGTTTAATGAGGTTCCAGAAGCTATTCATCTCAGGCCACGGCAGTGACCAGGGGGGGCTGGCGCATCCAACTGTCTCCAATTCCTCTTGGCTAACCATGACGGTAACAAATAATAATAACAGAACCAAACGCTGACCAGGTCCGAGGGATACGTCACCGAGCCCCGATGTATCATGTCTCCCACTCTGGCCTAGACGTAAGGAAACAACAGCTGGAAGGGTGACGGGGTTATGACTCACTCGGGTCCCACAGAGCACGGCAGGCCAGGGAGCTGACAGAGATGAGATTAGCTTCTTTACCATACTAACCTGGCTCCCAGCTCTTTGTTCACCATGGCTTTATCCCTGGGCATGTTCAGAAACCCAGTTTGAGTGAGGATCCTGTTAAGTCAGTATTATTAGAAATCTCTATGCTGAGATCACACACACACACACACACACACACACACACTTAGGGGTGCTTTATTTTGTGTGTGTACGTATAAGTTTGTGGAGGCCAGAGGCCAACCTCTGGTGTCGTTCCTCAGGTGCTACCCACCTTGTTTTTATTGAGATAAGGACAGGCCGGCCAGCGAGGTCCAGGGAATCTGTCTGTCTCCATTTCCCAGTGCTGGGATTAGAAGCGAGTCATCACACTGGGCTTTTATCCTTGTCCCCTTTTTTTTTACACAAGGATGCTGGCAATAACACTCAAGCCTCCATATCAACTATTTTGCCCTCATACTAGCTTTTTTTGTTTGTTTGTTGTGTCTCATAAAGCCCAGACTGGCCTCTAACAATTCACCACATGGCTGTGACTGGTCCTGGAATCATGGATTTCCTGCCTCCATCTCCAAAGTGCTGGGATTACAGATGTGCACCACCACCTTGGATATCTGGTTGGGTTATCTCCTATCTTCCTCCAGGTGATGTCTGCTGACCTGCCCTTCCTTCAGAAAAAACCCTAGTAGGCTGGTCTAGCCAGGATCCTCCGTACACACGGCATTTCCCGTTAGTAATCATCTATCCACTGACCCTCACTCTGTTCCTTGGCTGTGAATGCCCACTTGTCTGCGCTGTATCTGGAGCTGAGCCCTGTTCTATATAAAGGTATCTCTTCCCTCTTGGAAACATCCTGAACATAGCTGCCTCTGCCGCCTTCACTGCTCTCAGCTCTGGAAATTTCTCTTCTCTTCACTAGGCTGGTTGCAGGGCACTCAAGACTGCCCTCCCCCCCCAAAAGCAAATGCATCAAGAAACATTTTGTTTATATGACAGCATCACAGCAAGGGGGTGCCAAAGAAGCTTGGTTTGATACAGCAGCTCTGCTCTCTTCCTACTGAGATCCCTAGTTTTCCAGTGGTGGTACTCAGAGGTCCTGGTTCAAATCCAGCCATTCCCAAGATTCCAGAGGTTCAAGACGACCAGTGGGGCCTGAATTTCTCTTTACTGTACTTGATGAAACCATGAAGGATCCTTGGGATCACCCCTGAGTGAGGCTGGGTAATAGGAGCTTCAAGAGGGTACCAGGGTCTGGGATATGCACGAAGAAAGCCTGGGTTGTGGGCAGATACCAAGAGGGAGAAGGGAACTGGAGCCCCAACAAGTTCCAGACAGTACTGCTCATCAGAGGGCCGGAAATAGTTGGGAAGGTGTCTCCTTGAACGTCGAATGAGCATTCTTCAAGATTTGCTGCAGCTGGGTGTAGTGCACACCAGATCCCATCCACTGAAAAGTCTGAGACAGTCGGCCTGTAGGTGAGTTCAGGCCTGCCTACGCAAGTCAGTAGGGCTCTGCCTCTGACTAACACAAGGAAGGAACAGGGTTGGAGAACAGTGGTTCTACACTTGCTTAGCATACACAAGGTCCTGGGTTCACTCCCTTCTAAGAAAAGATCTGCTGTAAGCACCATGAGAAAGCACGGGCTGCTAAAACCATCAGAGAAGTTACGGCTTCAGCTGCAAGAACAAGTCTGACAGAAAATCTTTGGGGAACAAGACAGTGTGATATAACAGACAGAGAGAAAAGAAGGAAGGACCCATGACTGGGCTCGCTATCCTCCATCCCAGGAGTTAGGCCGTTTTAGCAGCCTCACATGGAAAAGGCCATAAAGCATCCCATCTAGGGGTGTGGGCTCACCTGGAGCTGACCTTTCCCCATGAGCTTGTCTGTGCTCTCGCCATCCTCCTTGGTGATCTTCATCTTGTTGTAACACTTTTCATAGCACAGTATCCGCAGGGTCTGGGAGCCTTCCAGCTCTATCTCGAACTCCTGTGGTTCCCCAAAAGAAAGAAAGTTATCCACAAACAAGCAGGTCCAACCAAGAATGTGGCAGGTTCAACATCATGTCTGAACCACGGTTTAACAACAATGGTACCCCTGCTGCCCCAGAAGGACCCAGACCTTACATAACTCTCCTCCCTTGGTCCTGGGATCCTTGTGAGCATTCCTGTAGACAATGCTGTCACTACACTGTGGGTCTGTGATTGGAAGTTTCTGGAAGCCTTTGTTTGTTTGTTTTTTCAAGACAGAGTTTCTCTGTACCTTTGGTGCCTGTCCTGGAACTAGCTCTTGTCGACCAGGCTAGCCTCAAACTTATAGAGATATGCCTGCTTCTGCCTTCCAAATGCTGGGATTAAAGGCATACGCCACCACCACCCAGTTTCTAGAAGCCTTTTAAAACCTAACTCAAACTCGGCACAATGGCATCTGTCTCCAAAGAGTGGTCTTAATACCAGCGGCATCAGAATCGAGACAGGGTTTGATAACGTTGGGTGGTAACGGCCTGTGAAGTGAGTTCATTTTCAGGGCCGTGAAGCTGTTCTGGGTAGTGCTAGAGTGGCACTACATATCATCATTGATCTGTGAAAACCCACAGCAGGTACATCTACCGCTAACTGTAGCCTTTGGGCCATGGTGGGTGTGCTATGCAGGTAGATCACATTGTATAAGACTGAAATAGCGGGCAGTCCATGGGAATTTCCGCCCTTCCTCTTAATTCTGCTGTCACACTAAGACGGAAGAATAAAACCGAAGCTAGGGGTACAATTCAGTGTTCAGCAAGTGCAAGTTCTGGCTTCCGTACATTCTCTTTAAAAAACCATAATCCATGGAAGGGCCAGAGGGCTTTGCAATGGTCCTCTGAGCTTTGCCACTTAATGTGGAGTTAACTTGCTCCTCTATCAACCTTCAGAGTCTCTAGGGAATTCTGCATTTTCCATCCATGCTTATGCATGCATGGCTCTAGCTGGGCATGCATGACTCTAGCTGGGCATAGCAGCTATTTTTGGGAAGTTGTATTAGGAGTATGTGAATTCCCTCTATGACCTGCAGGTACACATCAGGTGACCTAGACTCCCCATTATGCCTACCTAGGCCTTTTGCAACCTACCTAGAATCCATCTTTGTTGCCTCTGTGGGGTGTCACAATCCCCCAGTCCCCTTATTTTCTGAAAGCCATTTACAATGGGTCTCGTGTGGCTTTTTTTTTTTTTTTAAAGATGGAGCTGGCCTGATATTCACTATGTGCCCAGGCTAGTCTTGAAAGCCAGGCAATTTTCCTGCTTCTACCTCCTATGTACTGGGACTGCAAGAATGTATCACCAAGCAAGCCTCATGTGGTTTTATTCTGCCACTATCATAGATTATATTTGGCCTTTTTGTCCTGAGAAGTTGAGAGGTAACTACTGGGCCCCTTGTGTCCTTGTCCTACTTAGACAACATGTATAATGGACAGACGATGAGGGGACGCAATGAAGCAAGACCAGGGATCTGGTCGCACGGTTACACTGTTAGCCATATGACCAAGGTAGATGAGACCAAGCTGCCTGGTATTTTATGGTTTACTCCTTGGTGCGCAAGGGGTGGGAGGCAGCTCTGTAGCTTGGCTATTCCACCTGTGCCAACTAAATCAAGGCTGTTTAGGGTCACGGCAACTGCGGAGACCAGAGGGGGTAACTCAGAGTCTGACAACTTCATGCTTCTGTGCGATCATGTCACGCCAAAGGCCCACAGTTGGGGAGTACAGCCAACAGACTACGCCAAGCTAGTACCTCAAGACAAGCACACGGGACCCTTGGAAACAGAACAGGGAGGCTCAGGGAGCCAGGCCCACAACCTTGGCAAGCAGGGCCTAAGAACTCCGGAAGCCAGAATAGTCCCAGGAGTTCATTTCAGTTTCGGAGGAAAAAGGCAAGCCAGAAACCTAACAACTATACAATAGGCTATAGCAGGATTCAAAAGCCTTTTAAAGTATTCTTTCGAAACGCTTCTCTGGAGAAATGGGTTATTCCTCTCCTGGGCGTGGGTGGGTAAGAGTCTCAGGAACACAGAGATAAAATCTCTTGGCTGTATCATACAGCTCCCCCCCCCAACCTCTAGGAGATTCCAGGAATGCTGGCAACCGCATGGGGGAAGCCCTCGGGGAGCCCCCGGAGATTAAGATCCGTGGAAAACATCCTGGTGGGGGCTGGCTCCTCACCTCGTTCCAGTTTGGCTCAGTCGTGTCCCTGTAGACGCGGGTCTTCGCTTTGTTCACAAAATACCCGAAGGAGTCCACCTCCAGGGTGCAGTATAGATCTGGGAGAAAGGGACAGGGTGAGGGTGATGGGTCTTCTGTATTGCTAGCTTGTGTCAGAGCAGGTATCATTACAACGTCAGGGGGAAAATGACCTTTCCTTCTTAAGGTAACCCAAACGGTGGCTGACACAAACACTAGCCCCTCAGGTAATATCCCTGGGCCAGCCAGAGGTGTTGGGACACAGAACTTCTCAAAACACCCACTTCCACAACACTCGGCAATAGTCCGCTAAAGCCCCTGCTGGGATGGGGGACCTATGCTGGGTGTGCAGGGGGAAAGGTGGATGTGGCCTTGGAAGCCAGGGTGGGTTGAGCGTTGCATTGTGGAGAGGCCACAGCAGATGTCTCCTACCCTGGGAGTAACAAAGGGTGGAAACGGGAGCCTAGGGGGAGCTCCGAGGATCTGAGCAGACCCTGACGGGAACTTCACGAAACACGGAGCTAGAGCACGGGAAGTTTCACACCAGTGCAGGGCTGAGAAAGATGAGAAGCAGGGGTACTTGTTGGACCAAGTGTAACTGGTAAATGACAGGAAGGGGTCCTGCATTTTAGGGGAGTCCTCGATGAGGAGTAAGGGAGGCCTGGCAGTAGGGATTGGGAAGGCCACGTCAAAGACCTACATGCATATGGACCAAGATGATGCTGCAATGAATAATGACATCTGACTGACAGGGCAAGGGGACAGTACGGTGGAACAGGACAGCTATCAGTGAGTCGGGTGTCAAGAGTCCAGATTAATACAGATTAAGACACTGATGGAGAATGGCCCCGGACTGATGGCAAGGAGTCTCACAGTGGAACAGAGGCTGCAAGTGATACCCTTGGCTTGGGAATCTGAAGTTTAAAGAGTAAAATATCAGATATAAATGAACACAGTTGGTCAGGAGAGAGAGGCCAAGAGCTAGAAAGGCAGCTTGGGCATCGTTGGTCTGTTACTGGATGAGTCTTGGGGGTAGGCCTGGCAAGGGGCGGGGGAAGATGCTTATGGAACAAACATATGGCGAATCTTTGCAAACAGACTGCTGTGAGAGATTATCTATACTAGGTTAATTGAGATGTAAAGACCCAGCCTGAATGTGGGTGGTTCCATTCCACAGGCTGGCGAAGAAGAGAAAGCAAGCTAGCTTAAGTATCCCCCCCTCCCCCCACTGACTGGGTGCCATGTGACTAGACTAGCTGCCTTCTGCCTCCATGACTTCCCCACCATGATGGATAATACTCTGGAACCAGAATTAGCCCTTTCTCCTTAAGCTGCCTCTGTTGGGATATTTGTCACAACAACAACAACGAGAGAGAGAGAGGAGGGGGAGAGACAGGGACTTGGTACCACAAGCAGGGTGTTGCTGTGGTAAGTAGGACTTTGGTTCTAGGACTTTGGAATTGGTTTGTTGGAGGAACGTGGAGTGCCTGGAACTCTGGGTTAGAAATGCCCTTGAATGCCATGAGCAGAGTTGAAGGAACTAGTCTGGTGTGAGTTTGGAGGACCAGAAGACCGAGAGACATTGGGATGGTGGAGGCCACCTCAGCAGGCTTCAGAGGTCATTCTGGTTATATTCTGGCAAATAATCAGGCCTCATTTTGCCCATCTCCTGAGAACTTGAGTGAGGCTGAATTTTAAAAATAATGGACTAATTTGCTTCGTGGAAGAAGTTTCAAGGAAAGATGACATCCAGGCTGTGGCGCGGCTATTGCCCACGGTTCCTATCCAGACGTAAAACACGAGCAGTTTGTTAAGGAAGGGAACTTAAACAAGTTGATAGCTGCAGCCAACACCCAAGGGGACCATGTAGCAGTAATTGTTAAAGACAAACCTGTGCTTTCAACTGGGACAGAATGAAAGGCGCCCTGAGGTCAAGACCCCAACCCCCAAAGTCTGCAGTGTGAAGATACAAATTCATTTGAAAGGAGAAAGTCTGAACCGAGGGTGCAGTTGAAGGGTTCCCCGATCCTGCAAAGTCACTGGCTGGGGAAGTGTTTTCCCAGGTCAGCTCAGGGAAGCTGGGACAAATGCAGTGCAGGGGTCCAGACTCCATCCCAGGCTGGCAACCTGGTAATACTGTCCCCATGGCATTACTGATTTTATAGACATGAAAGATATAAGATTGAGAAAGTCACGAAATCTTGCACAGCAGTTCCAGAGAGCAACTTGGGCCAGACAATGTATAAGAGAGGTGGAGTCTCTTCGAGGAGGCCTCAAGAGGCCACCGGGTGAAGCTGTGCAGGTAAAGGTTAAGTTGCATTGGAGACCCAGCAGGGTGAAGATGTCAGGACCATGGATAGCCACCAAGGAAAACTGTAGCTATGGAGAATTTACGGCAAAAGAGAGGGGCTGCAGGTGGCAGAGCTGGGCAGAGAGGCTACCCAATCCTCTCGAGTTCAGAGAGGTCTATCATGAGTCCAAGATGCTGGACACAAAACTGCAGGCTTTAGCGTTTGCCCTGCTGAAGTTTGCTTTATCCCGATCTTTCCTTGATAGCTCCCATTTAGGCCTTTGGCTATGAGAATGTTTATTCTGTGCCATTTTATGTCGGAAACATGTAACTTGTTTTTGTTTTATAGGAGTTCAGATAAGATGAGACTTGAGGCTTTTAAGCAGGGTTGACATTTTAAAAAACTATGGGGATTTTTTTGAACTAGGACTTAATGCATTTTACATCTGAGATAGACAGAGCCCCATTCATGCCAGTGAGGAGATCTACCACTGAGCTACACTTCCAGCCCGAGTGCGCATCTTTCTGAGGATCACTGACTCAGGGTGTATGAACAAATATCTCAAAGTGGTTTTAAGTCTCATTTTTCTAACATGACAAGCATTTTTTCCCATGTACTTACTAGCTATGTACTATTCCTTTGGTGAGGTGTTTTCTATTCAAATCTTTTTCATGTCAAAAAAATTAGCATTGTTTTTGTGCGCATGTGCACACACAAGTGAGCGTGTATGCATGCGTGTGTTGTGTATGTGTATGCATGACGTGTGTGAGCGGATGTCTTTGTGTGCTCACGGTGCATGTGGGGAAGGCAGAGGACAGCTTCTAGGAGGTTCTCTCCTTTCATCGTGGGCTCCAGGCGCTGAACTTAGGTGGCCAGACTTGCACGGGAGGCTCTTCCACCCACTGAGCCATCTCACCAGCCCACGGCTCGTTTAAAAACAAAATGTTTGAAACTGCATCTTCCTAGTGCTCAGTTTTAAGAGTTCCTTGTATATTCTAGATGCAAGTCCTTTATCGGACCCATTCCAGAACTTGTTGAGGCTTCCTGTTCTGCAGCAGTGTGGAGAGGGTCAAAACTCTAATTGCCCTTCAGTACCACGGGCCTGAGGGCTGGGAGGACCTACCTAGGTGAGGAGATGGGAAGATGCAGTGTGGCCGCCCTTAGACAGCCAGAGCAGCTCGCTGGGAGAGAAAGGGTGGTCTCGAACCAGCTAAATCTGCTCTGCTGCCGGGCTTGGGGGACCGCCGCCTACAGTTCCCTGAATTGGACCTTAGGCTCCCCGGCATCTTGCTGCCATCAGGCTTCGGGCTCAAATTCCAGACCCGGTAATTAAAAGACCTGCCAGCAGGTGGCAGCTCATCTGTATGCGTTCTCCGTTCTCTGAGACAGGGGAAAAGCTGAGAAAACAATCCCATCCCCAGCAGGCTTCATCCAGCAGGGTCCCACACGGAACAGCGGAACAGCGCACCTCTGGTGGACCCGAACAGCGTTCCTAGGAAAGTTTACTTACAGGGTCCACCACCTCCCTCCCTAAGCCACTTACTTGAACTCTGCTTAAACCCGGTGGCTGAGTGGACGATGACATTCAGGAAGCCGTAGAGCCCAGGAGACTCATCATCTGCATGAGAGACCATAGAGGTCAACTTTCTGCCTTCCCAGCACGGGAGGGTAAGGTGACTGGTTGGTCCAGCAGGAGGAGGTAGTATCACAGACAGTGGGTACCCACTATGGATGCTGCATTTAGTATCTTAGGATCTAGCTGGGTTCAAAACGCAGGCAAACTGGTGGCCAAAACAAAGTTCCAAAGACAGGAGAGGGAGTTGGGGTGACATGGGTATGAGCGGAGCCCTTGTGCTTGAATACACGCCCGTGTGTGTTAACTGAGTGCGTATGCACACGGACAGCACCGAACACAAAACTCGCCATGGTTTCAGTGCTGCTCAGGGTTCACACCCACTGTACTGACAGTCTGGCCAGCTGTCACAAACCTTATGGCTAGGGACAAAGCCCAGGGTCAGTTTTTACAACTGTCCGGCAGTGGCTTCAAGGGGAAAAACTGCTCCTAAGATCAGCCCGATGCCCAGGAGCCGAAACTGCTCCTAAGAGATCAGCCCGGTGCCCAGGAGCTGACACTGCTCCTACCAGATCAACCCGGAGCCCAGGATCCCAGCCTTACCCTCTTTGTTGATGGTCAGTGGAATGTGATGAACAGTCTGAAGTTTCACGCATGAGTTGGTCAGCATTTGCAGCTCCACCGACGTCAGAGAGAAACTTTTGAAACCTGAAGGGGCAGAGCAGGCATGGGGACAAGTCAGTCCGTACTGGCCCTCTCAAGTGACCCTCTCGACACATGGAGGCAGGAAGGTCAGAAAGGCCCCCTGGGCCTTGCTGACTCCCAGGTGAAATGCGGGGATAGCACAGGGCAATGCAAAGCCCTGAAGAGCCCAGGCCCATGGGCCCCTGAGAGGATCGGCAATGCTGCTGATAACTCATGTTCACATGTGCTCTCTTGCCACCCAGGCACAATGCCACAAGGCAGGCTGGAACAGACAGATTGGTCTGGAAGCATCTCCCTGGTAGGTCTCCCCAGACAAACATCCGTGTAGCTCTTGTCCTTCACTCTGCTACGGTGGATGATGTCTCCCAGTCAGCTGAAGCAAAGGGGTTTATTTCTGGACACCACTTGGAGCAGGGACAGATGCTGCCATACTGGAAATGGTTTGGATCCCATGTTAGGCCAAGAATCCCTGGGACATAAACCCTTGGTCTCTCCTAGGCCATACAGGCACTGAAAGGAAAAAGTGGTCTTAGCTCAGCATAAATGATGTGTCTTAGAGACAGGAACTCAGAAGGGGTCAGAGGCGTGCAGAGCCCCCCAGCTGTATCTGCAGAAACTGAACCCCAACTCCTGTTTCAGCAGGAGCTGCTGATCTCTCAGAGGACGCAGTTCTTGGAAAATGGGGTGTTAGGCAGCTGCAGGCCAAGGACTTGTGGGTGAGGTCTACCATTCTGTTCCCAACACTGTCCCAGGACCCGGAGTGTAGCTTGCAATTTCAGAGAGAGAAAAAAACCCACTGACAGAGGGAAGCGCCTAGAGAAGGAAGGAGTCATTACAGGGAGGATGAAGAGTCTTGTTTGGAGGTGAGCAACAGTGGGGCCACTACGGTGTGGTTCCTGAGGTAAGTCCAGGCAACGGCTCCTTCTTCACTACCTGGAGAGGGAGGGCAATGGAGCCCCAGGGGGTCAGACAGTAACTGGTGAACAGGCCCAAGGATTAGGCCATAAAGGCCTGGCTGGGACAGGTGAGAAGGGTAGATGGTGTGTGAACAGACAGCTAGGAAGAGCAAAGGGCATATTGGCTGGGCGAGCACTGGGAGAGCACAATAGGGCTGGGCAGTTCCTCTAATGTTCTGAATTAGGCCGGGTTCCATGCAACATCTCCCTTCCCAGTCTAAAGCCCCCCTGAAAAGAAGAGTAGAGCAGAGAAACGGGGGAAAGGAGAAGCGTTAGAAGATTGAGAACTGTCCACTGAGTAGTCATCCGTCCATCCGTCTGTCCACCCACCCATCCATCCCTGGTGGCTGAAGGCCGAGTTCTCTGGATACAGGGCCCACTCACATTTCTTCTGCTGCTCCCGGATGCTCTCTCGCCACTCGGCTCGCTCATAGTCGGAGGAGATCAGGAATGTGTAACTCTGCAGAGAGGGAAAAGAAGAGCAGACCCTAGAGTCGGAGAGACACACTTTTCTCCCGCAGCCAAACTGACCACTTTTTGTACACTCTACTGTACTATACTGTGGGCCATGGTACCCAGACACAGTATAGGCCTATGTCCGGCATAAGCCTACCCGAAATGCCTGGGGTTAAGGGCATGACTCTGGCAGAGGGGGTGCGGCTTAAGGACATGGAGGGAGGGGTTATGAGGTAGTTCTTTAGGGTGAGGGCTGATGGGAATCTAACCTATGCAACCAGCCCATAAGAAGACAAGGCTCACAAAGTCTGGTCAGCTGCTCTCCCTGTCACGTGCAAAAGAATAAATCACACAAAACCCTGTCTTGAACAAGAACACACACACACACACACACACACACACACACACACAGAGAGAGAGAGAGAGAGAGAGAGAGAGAGAGAGAGAGAGAGAGAGAGAGAGAGAATAGAGAGACCCAGGCTACAGGTGGCACCAGGAATCAGACCAGAAGAGAATGTCAATGACCCTGGAGGTCCCTAGGTAGAGTTCCTGTACCTGAGGACCCGAGGTCACATTCCCCTACACGCTCCCTGGAGCCCTTGCCACTTCCCAGCCGCAGGAGCCGAGGGAGCTGTTATTCAGCTGGAGACTAGCCCAAAGCCCCATCGGAGGGATGTGTGCCTGCATGTGTCACGCTGCACTGGTCTCTTTTGGAATGGGAATGCTCCCCAGCTCCCTGGAGCCATAGAATGGCTGCCACAAGGCATCCATGAGCTGGAGACAGCAGGCGGCTGGGGAAGGCTGGACCGCGGCTGGCACTCACCTTACCATTGCGACTGTGTACCCTGAAGGCCATGCTGGGGGACATTAAGAGCAGCAGTGACTCTTGCTCAGACAGCTTCTTCCTCAGCCTCTCCATGACTTTGCTGCCCTTGTTTGCTCTCTGCAGAGAGAGCATAGTCTTGCTTTTTCATCTGGAACCAATGCCATCTGCTCCCCCTCAGTTGTGGTCCATCACTCCCCGGCCTTACCCCCAGGCTCACAGAGCACAGAATCCCATCTGTCAGCTCAGTACAGTCCAGGCCCTTCGTCAGCTGTTGCTGGTGGCCTTTAGAGGATGTGAACAGCCTTTCCTTGGGGTTGAGCCCCAGCACTAACTTGGGGTGTGCTCACTGAGCCCTTCCTGAAGGAATCAGTCCTTTATGTAAGAGCAGGGGCTAGGCCTTCAGCTTGTCAAAACCTGGACAATGTTCAGGAGTTAGTGGGATCTAGGGGACCTTTACCCTGCTCCTTGCCTTGGTCACATTTATCATCAGGCCCCTGGGATGTTGGGGGTCAGGGAAGGAGAGGGTCCTAGCACATTAGAATGAACATCACTATGATCTGATGAGAAAACCCCTCCTTGTCCTGGGCTGTGTGGAACTTTCCTGAAGCCACTTGACTCTGGAAAGAAGACTGTGGCCTCTCATAAGCTGGTGCCCCGATCCCTATCCCATGATGTGGGATAGGGACAACCATCAGTGGGCAGCAGGGCCCAGTAGCCCCGAGGACGCAGCACTGGCTCTGCTTGGGGACAATGCTACAGAGGTCATAAATCAATGATTTAACATCCACCGTGGTCTTGGCTCACCCCTATCTGAAGCTTTAGAGCTTCCCTACATATCCCTAAATGCGTAACACTTGCAACGTGGAGATCTAGGAAGGGGCATGCCGCCTGAAGAGGACCCTTTGTTCTGTGGTATCCACTTCACTAGGGATCTAGGGGGTGTCCTTGAGCAGAAGCCTGTCTTCTGATGATACAGCTTGTTTGGGGCTAATGCTAGCCCCCACCCCCTGGCCTGAACTAACCCTAGACTCACCTTTACACCTTCTAAGAATTCTCCAGGAAAAAAAAAAAAACAAAACAAACAAACCTGGGGGACTGTAATTCAAAGCAGCTAGAGGGGCCACATCCTAGTCTGCCCTGAGTCCTCTACAGCCCAATTGGGATGGATGCACCATCCCCTCCCCCCCCCCCCCCCGCCATGATTAAGCATGTCTCCCTGCCACAATACCACACAGATGCTGCCTGAGCATCAGCTAGCAGTAGCTCTAAATATGGAAGGTGGGGTGAGAGGATTGCTCAGGCCCAGGATACTAGCATGGACAACCCAAGACCTTGTCTCTTAGTTGTCCTCTGGATGCCCTCTTTCTCTGCCTGACTTCATTTCTACTTGGTGTGACTTGGGGGTGGTGGGAAAACAGTCCTCCCATCCTTGGGTGCCTTTCTTGCCTAGGACCGTTGAGTACTGATCTCCTGGCTTGTTTTCTATGTGGTAGAGGTTAAATTCATAACCTCCATAAGAAGAATCAGGAGCTTCCCCAGGCCTGATCTTCCTGGAACGCAAGGACGGGGTCGGGGAGAGGATGAGAAGATCATAGTAAGAGGTAGGTACAAGGCTGGGCTCTCAACATTCCAGGGATGGCCATGCAGGCTTAAGCTGGACCACGTCAGAGAAGAGCCACAGGGGATCTATGAGTGAACACGAACCTTCTATGCAAGGGTCACTAGTCAGGTAAGTGGACACTGAGCAGTTTGACAGACGGGGTAAGCATCCTATAACAGACACTCCGTGAACAGCCTGCCGGATGCCTCATCTCCCATTGAGGCTCGGTTGCTAGGGACTTTGGTAGGAGAACTCAAATTTAGTTGGAGGCTCTCAAAACAACCAGAGTCCAGCTATGATCCGATGCCCAGGACCCGAGAACTCTCAAGGGTCCCTGCAGATCCTGCGGACCAGCTGTGGAGGGACAGATGCCTGGCCAAGACCGAGAGAGCCCCTGCTTGGCCTGCACACAAGGGTCTGCTGTGCACTCAGGCTCCACGGAACCTGGCAGGAGCTCTCCAAAATCGGTCTCACCTTCTCCCGTTGGATGTCGCTCTTGATCTGGGAGATTTTGATCTTCAGGGCATCCAGTTCCTCGTCTGGCACCAGAGGGATGTTGGGCACAGCCTCCAGTTCATCCACCATCTGGAAGCTGAGGTCCGTGAGCGGAATGTACCATTTGCAGTCATATTGCTGGGTTTTGCTGGGGTGGAGAGGGACGAGAACGTTAACAGACTGCACTTCCCTTTGCTTTTGAGAAGCAGAGAGCCCTAGGTCTACAGCTGGGCCCTTCAGCTGACTGAAAACAGGCGAGGTTGCAGTTGGCAGCAGGCACTGACGGGACGGGACTGAAGTGCAGAGGCGCAGAGGTTGAGAGGCCGCGGTATACCTGTTAGCGTCACTTTACTGATGAACAGCAGCGGAGGCTCCCCTTCTGCGTGGAGTGAGTGAGTTCATTCCCACGTCAGCAGAAATATGTAAGGAGACCCCACCGTGTCTAGGTTGTTCTAACAGGACCTCTTGACTCCATTCCAACCTGGGCAAATCTCTGGTGCTGGTGGCGTGTGTGTATGTGTACATTGGGCAGTTTGCTGGTGGCGGTGGTGATGCGTGTAAAACATTACAGCATGGGAAGACGGAAGGACAGCTACCCCCGAGTGACCATTTGCTGACAGGGGAGGGTTTCTGGCCCAGCCCTGTAGCCCTCGATGCTTCTCTGATGGTTTTTGATGAGACTTTCCTGCCTTTCATTACAGGACGCAAAGACAAGTCACTGCCCTGCCTTATGACCCCTCCAGATGGTTGGTGATGTCCCTGACTTTGAGCCTGGCATCACATCCAAATAGAAACTATGTAAAGAGTGTGTGGGGGGGGGTCTGGCTACATTGTTATTCATGTCTGTCAGAAACCCAGCCAGCAAAGCCTTGCGGTGAGGGCAGGGCCAAGGTCACTCACCCTCCACTTTGCTTCTTCAGCTTGGTGCAAAGGAGCAGGTCGGTGAACAGGAAGATGTGGCGCAGCTTGCGGGCCCCCTCCACCAGCTCCACCATGAAGCTGTCCTTCAGCAGCTGCCGGTGCTGTGGGCACAGTGTGTACAGGGGGCAGGTCAGGGCGATGGGTGTGGAGGGGAGATGGGGCACAGGGCCTCTCTCTCAGCAGGAGCAAGGAGGAAACCGTCTAGAAAGTGCTCTCCTTTGGGATTTACACTCCTGCTGCATTTATTTTCAACACGTTCTAGTCATCTTATTTGCGTGCTAAGAGATGGGGCTGCCAGCATCTCTCTTGTTCTGCCAATTATTCTGAGTCCCGCCTAGATGTTCGCCCAGAGAAGAACACCAGAGAATGGGGCAGAGGTGGACATCAGTTTGGGGTGACTGGTTCCTCTCTGAGGAGCTGGCCTGAGGTCAGCCACACAGATGGATGACTGTTCTCAGGCACGGGCACCATATTCCAGCGACTGACTGGGCAGCCAATCAGCAGGAAGAAGATGGGCCCAGGAGTTCTTCGAGAAGAAGCAGGGCTGGGAATATGGGCTGGGTCTCATGCCAAAGGCTTCAGGAAGCTGTGGACCTATGTCTGAACCCTACCTCCAACCCTTCCCCAGACACTAATGACTAAGAACAAGGCCAACAGAGAGAAGAGGATGTGTGACACGGGTGGGCGGGGACTAGAACAAGGGAAGGACTGTGAAGAGAGTCTCCCAGCAGGTCCCAAGCCTTATGTAACTCAACAGTCCATCAACAAGCCAAGGACAGTCACCTCTCCTGTGCAACCCAACAAGTTGCTAAGCAGGCACAATAAGACAAGTTATTAACTTGTTCAGACAATGCCAGCCACCTCATGTGGGTTAGATGATATGTCATGCAGAGGACAGAGATAGGATGAGGTTCTGTTACTGTGAGTCCCGCCACCCCAAGCCCAATTCAGACATGAGAAAATGGCCCCGGAAAGGCCATCCCAAGGCAGCACTGCAAGCACAGGGAATGTTTACTCGTTGGCCTGGGGGGCGCACCCGGCTTCAGAAAGGCTTTCTGGGGGGGGGGCACCTGTCCGGGGAGGACCTACAGGTCAGACGTATACAACAAATTCTACTGTTGCTGGGCAGTGGTGGCTCACACCTTTAATTCCAGCACCCAGGAGGAAGAGGCAGGTGGATGGGTCTCTGTGAATTCAAGGCCAGCCTGGTCTATAAAGGGAGTTCCAGGAGAACCAGAGAAATCCTGTCTCAAAAAAAACAAAACAAAACCAAAACAAACAAACAAACAAACAACCCCCCCCCAAAAAAAACCCCAAAACCAAAAAACCAAACCAAACCAAAAACCACTGTCTTCCCCAGCCTGAGGTGTAGTAGATCCCCAACCCCCCAAGAAGCAGGATGCTCCCTCCTCTCATCCAGTGGACTGGGGCTGTACAGGGCCTGCTTCCCTGTGCCTGTAGTCTCACCTCCATAAACTCTATTCCCACGCTCTGCAGGGTGCAGCACGCTCTGCAGGGTGCAGCCTGGACAGGTCCCCTGACATCCCCTGGCATGGAGGGTCACACGCCGCCATCACAGGCACTCAGCTCATGACGGTCAGCTGATTGCTGGTGTGGAACAGCTAATTATTTTATATAGGCTGGTGTCAACATGCTAAGACCGGGACTCTCACACACACCTCCACAGGGCAGAAGGCTTTCTGGATGACGGTAGCTACAAGATTCAAGAAACAGTATACAGACATTTGTCTTTTGGGGCGTGAGCCTAGCCTTTAACAGACGAGCCACCTCCCTAGCCCAATGGTGCATACATCTGAGGAAATGTTGGTGGGAGATGCAGAGTAGATTATAGAGACAGGTATATATATATTGCTAGGTCTGTGGTGGGGATAAGGAAGTGTTCTGGGACACCCAAGTCTGCAATGAATGCTTCCTCAATAAGGACACAGAAGCAGGATCGCAGACCACCAGGTGGCAGTCTTTTCTCTTTCCAAATAACTGAATTTCTTTCAAACCAGCAGAGGGCGCCCTAAGCTCAGCCTAGAAGCTGTGGGTCTGTAGTGTTCAGGCAAGAGTCCCCTGACACCTAATGCTCTCCAAATCTCATGCAGGCTTAAGAGGTTCCAAGAGGCAGATTTAGCCTGGTTCTGGCAAGCACTTTTGATATCACAACAGTTACTTAACCCCTCTCCAGCGTTGTCACGGGTGGGGGGAGGAGGAGGGGAGGGGACAGATGACAACTTCAACACTTCCCAGCTGGCCCCACCACCCCTGGTCCCCATTCTGTGAGAGCGGTTTCAGATGTGTAAAAGTCATTGGCGGGGACACCCATCAGAGTTGTCCTTGTGCAAGCACCATGAGATCTGGCTTCTGAATCTCAGGGCATGGGCAGTCCCTCGCCAAAGAGAACATTCAACAGCCAGGGCAGAGGGCGCCCAAGCCTTGGGACAACAGGTGAGGCCCCAAACATAACAACAGCCTATCCAGGAAAAAAGGCTTAGGATCAGAGAATCAGAGAGGAGAGCCCGGTGGGTGAAGACTGCAGTGGGAAGAGGGAGGGCGGGTCCAGGACTGTCCCAGGCCTGGAGGCAAGAGTCTCAGGCTGGTTAAGATCCCTAGGCTTCTGGGCAGATGCCACCTCCATAGCTCACGTTGGCCAGACCTGGGTTCAACTCTGCTGGGAGCCTAGCTAGAAACTCTACTAAGACCATCCTCCATCTTCTCCCCCTGGTAACAGCCGCAGGGGAGGGGAGAGACAGGTCCAAGACAGATAACACAGGGAGGACTCTATGATAAGGAAATACTGGGGTGAGGTGGAGAAGGGAGCCCTAACAGTAACCTTGTCCCTCTGACCATTAGCTAAGAAGCCTTCATTGCAAATTCAACTCCTGCTGCCTCCCCCATTCCCTTCCTGGAATCCTGGCTCCTGTGCAGACTCCGGCCAGTGTGGTCTGGCTAGGCCAGCTCACATGGCCTTAGTGAGTTCAGACTCTCACGGCTTCGGGCTGCCCAGGGGACACCTCACTCAGAAGTACTCATCAGTCTGGTTACAGGCCCGGGAGCACAGGAGACCCAGCCCTGGCTCCCCATCCCGCCTGCTCCCATTCTCCAGGGCACACAGACAAGGTCAAGGCTGAGCCACCTTCGCTAGCAGCAACAGTGTGCAAAACATTAAATGAGGCCAGGCGCCCGGGAAGAAGTATCCACTCAAAGCCTCACCCAGTGCATGCCCCACCCCACCCCCGCCCCAAGACAGAGCTGAAGGACAGACAGCCCAGGACCTTGCTGGACCCAGGTCCAAGGAGTCTGTAGCTCAGAGAAGGCTGTTTGTGGAAATGGCAAGAGTTGTGTCCAAGAGGAGAGGGGGAGAGATGCATGTTCCCGTGTGTGGCTGTTGGTGTACACGTCCTGTGTGCTGGCAGGAGCCCCTATGCAGGTTTCTGCGCCCCCAGGTTGTAGGGCAAAGCAGTGGAGGAAGACCTGTGTATGGTTTTGGGGGGAGGCACTCTCTGGGTGTTCCTCTACATGCAGGTAGGAAATATCAGCTGGAAAGGACACCACTGCCTTCTTGAGAAACCGACACAAACAGACCAGGATCCCCTTCACTTTCACTGCCTGTCTCCTGGCATGGCTTGGGAACCAGCCCGTCCGGGGCCTCCTTTGGGAAGACCAAATTTAGAAGCACGTTGTTATGGTTTTAATGTTTACACCCTAGCTTGTTTACTTTCTTTCTATCTCGGTATCTTTAAAACTCAGATGTAGGGTAGGGTTGGGGCTGAACCACAGCTCAGGGACAAAATGTTTGCCTAGCTTGTACAAGGCCCTGGGTTCCACGCCAGTGTTACAGACGGGGACGACAAAAAAAAAAAAAAAAAAAAAGCCTGTTTAGTGGCCTTTTTTTTTTCTTGAGGATTAAATGAATCAACATACCCACAGGGCCTCTCAGGGGCCACAGGGCTCTTGTGGGTACTCAGGACTGAATCCAGGCCCCTGCATATATATTCTATAGCGCACTACACTCTAAGCTCTGAGCCTGCTGCTCGGGCTGTGGGCTCTGCGGTCCATGTCCATCCTCGTCATGGCAGCAAGCAAGCACTACTTAGCAGGTGCTCAGTGCTGATGCTCCCCACCCTCGAAATGCCTCTTGCAAATGGGTTTGATGTTTCCAGTGGATAATTCATCAATTATCCACGTGTGTGCGCACATGTGAGCATACACACACACACACACGCACACGCACACACATGCATGCACACACGCATGCACACATGCAATGGAGCCGCGGGTTCCAAGCATGATAGGCAAGTACTCTACAGGTGAGGTATACCCTTCGCCCCCAACTCCTTTTAATCGTTGGCAGGAAAGCCTAGTATGCCCTGAGCCCCGCTGCCTCGTAGCCTTCACTAGCTCTGTCCCTTCTTATAGTGCCTTCAGAAGCCACTGCCTGCCTCCTCCACGGCCTCTAGAAGCCCCAGCAGAGAACTGGAATCATCAGCTACTCTTGCAAGCCTGAGCAGCACACAGTGCAGAGCTCAGAGCAGACAGGCCACCACTGCTCGGAGGAAATGATCCAGCAGCAGGGACTTAGTTATCTAACTGTGAAGCTAATTCAGCTAAACAAGTGCACACCCACCCACCAGCTCACAGGCCGAGGGCCTGGAAGGAAAATGCGTTTGCAGGACCTTCTGATCCAAAAAGCTGAGATCCCAAGCCCTCACTCCTCATGCTGGGCAGCTCCCACTCCTGCTAGTTCCTGGTGTGCTCTGGTAAGAATTCTGGTCGGCCAGGGCAGCCGCTGGCCGCTGCTCAGTTTGGAAACCACCTCTAACGCTGCCCAGACACTTCCAAAAAAGGGCCAGCTCTGGAGCCAGGAGACTTGGCTGAAAAGCATGAAGAGATCAGAGCAGACACGCTAGACATCAGGTGCTGCCCACGGCTCACATGTGCGACTTTCCACAGTGCCCCGACTCATCCTGCTGGGATGCTTATGGGTTCTTTACTGGCTAGCAACACCAAGGGTGCCCATCAGCATCTTTGGCACAGAAGGCATCTCCATGTCACCACTCAGTTTCATAGTATCAGTATGTGAGATGACAAAACTTTCAGTTCCACCGTGGCCCAGCGGAGGGGTCACTGTCCTTAGAGAGCACAGATGCTCAAGGGGGAGGGGGCCCAAGTCAGCTTCAGAGGCAAGCAGTGGGCGAGGACCAGCGTGGGGTTGGTTGAAGATTGCCCTTCTAGTACCTTTCCGGAAGCATCAAGCACTGTGTGGGTGGAAGGACCCTGGGGAGGACAATGAGGACCCCACACGTCTGGGGACCAGGGGGCACAAGAACAGGCATCCTGGCTTAGTAAGCCCCGAGGCACTAATGGATAGTGCTGGATGAAGCAGGTAAGTCAGGACTGCAAACCTGCAGACCCTACAAGCAGCAGAGGCAGCATCAGCAGATTCCCCCACAGGGAGCCTCCGGCCTCCTTAAAGCACTCTGCCCTAAACACTACAGACCTGAGACAGATGCGGGAGTAGGGACTTAGCTGCTAGCTTCCGGGTGACACCTCAGTCCTCAGTCCCTAAGGCAGCTGACCTGAACACATGGACTATTTCTGTTAAGGGATCCTAAGCAGTGGGCTGGGAAGAGGGGGTAGAATTGGTCCCATATTCAGGGCCAAGGGAAAAGGGGTTCAAAGTTTGCTTCTCGGGTCATAAAGGAACAGTTGGCATAAGAGAGGAGAGAAACACCATGTGGGATGGGTGATCTCAGCAGGTATCCAATCAATACATGCGATCTTGGCGGGCACAGATCCAACACCAAGTCGAATACAGTGGGCTGCTGAGGGGAGCACAGGCTCCGCTCTTATCCAATGGCCTCACGTGAGAACCATAGCAAGGCCCAGTGTCACTGTAGAGGAGACCTGCTTCCTAGTTTCCCTAGGTGCCAGATACTGAACACCTGCCTAGCTGGAAAACTACTCCACTCAGTATCTTTCCCCAGGGGTTACCAGCTAGTAAAGCTAGGGTCCACCTCTCTTGCCTTCAACGGAGTTAACGACAACAGAAGAGTGGACACACAGGGCCAGGGTGCTGTCATTTACTGCTTTTCCCATAAATTGCATCCCTCTGAGGCCCAGGGGCCCAGGGAGGTGAGTTATGCCCCTACCCTACTGTAGAGACAAAGAACGGGCCTAGAACGGAGAAGCTATGGGTACTGGGATGCTTAGGAGCAGCCCTCAGGATACTGGGATGGAGCCCAAGTTGGCTTTATTCCAAAGCCCAAAGGACACCTCCTTCTCTTCCCCAGCTCCTCCTGGGTCAGGCCCACCAAGAGAGATATGACCAGGCGCCTCATTCGCAATTAAGCCCAATTAGACCGTGGCTAAGTACTTTCAACTCAACATGTAGGACAGCTCTTCCCAGAAAGAGACATGGAGGATGAGAGCCAAGAGCAGCCTGCCTGTCAACTGTATTGAAGAAGGAAAGAAATGTCCCCAGGCACCTGGCACATGAGCCAGAGGAGGAAGAAGTGGTTCTCAGAGGCAGCTGCGGTCAGTGGCATGACCTTACCATAACCTGCGTGGGTCTGACAGCTCCTGTCTGGGTACAAGACTCCAGAGACGAGAGGGCAGCTCCCCCAACTCTAACACCCCTTCTGACACAGGATATTAGATTCCAGCTCCTGGCCTTGGCCCTCCGCTGTCCTCACCAGTCAGAGGCGGTCAGGAGCACAGGCTGCTTACTGATGACTCACAGAAACAGAATCTCCATCCGTGGCCAGCACAGGGAGAAGGGGAGCTCTGTGCTGCAGATATCAACTTCCTTAGCCAGACTCATGTCCCCCAAAATCGTGGATCCGTCCCTGTCCTACATTTAAACCTGTACATCTAGTGTTGGCAGGTTTTTGAGAAAAGACCATCAAGAGACAGGTCCAGGCAAACAAGATGCTGTCTTCCTGCTCATTGTTGCTTTGGGTGGGGACCTGGGCTGGTGGAGTATGAGGAAAACGATGAGATATGTTTCAGGCCTCACTCAACAGAAATAGAAAACAGAAAGAAGGCTGAATGAGGGATGGTGACAATGGCTGATGTGGCACAGGATCACCCTTTTGACTTTACCCTGATGTCCTGCTGTACCCGAAGTCATGGATTCCCCAAGGGCCATATGTATCCTGTGCTGTGCTGAGCCATCTGCTAAGGACCAGCAAGTGACTCTCTGTGCCTGAGATTGAGGGTGCCGCGCTCAGGGTCTGTGCCTGAGATCAAGGGTGCCGCGCTCAGCTATGCTCACCTCTCCTTTCTTCACGGTCATGGACTGCCGTCGGGGTGTGATCTCCTCATTGATGCTGGACAGGAAGTTCTGTGAGATGCGGAGGGCGTCCTGTAGCAGGGAATGGTCAGGATGGCTGGACGGAGTGTGCTTTAGCAAGTCCTGGCCCAGGCGGGAAGACCAGAGTTAGTCAGAATAGCATCGGCACAGAACGTTGTGTGAAACCATACACGCACACTGGGTGCAATTCAGAGCTGCAGGCCCACTGCTCCCAAAGCCCAGACATGGGTATTAAAAATTTATATACCACAAGGGCAATTTGTTCCTTGCCCATGGCAAGCAGCTCCCTGATTCACAGAAACAAAACCCTTTCAACTCCTAATCCCAACTACAAAGAGAAGCTAGGGAGTAGGTCCACCCATCGCTCCCACCACTCCTAGGAGCTCTGGTGTTCTCCACCAGGATGCTTTACTACACACAGGCCTGAGATCTGAACCAATCACAGCCACAGGCAGATGGCAGCATCTCAAGAGAGTTACATGGATGGGCTACCTGGCCAGAAACTCTGAACTGTTACTATTTCACAATCCTAGAATCATCTAGAAAGACAGCCTTAATGAGGAACTGTCTAGAGCAGGATGGCTTGGAGGCATACCTGTGGGGAATTATCTTGAGTATATTTGCTTAAGTGGAGACCTGTCCATTGTGGAGGGAGCCATTCCCTAGTCAGGGCATTATGAATTGTGTAAGAGTGGAGAAAGCCAATTGTGAACAGTGCACACATTTACCCTATTTCTGCTCTTGATTGGGGATGTGACTGGCTGCTTCAAGATCTGTCACCCTGATAGCTCCAGCCCTCAGAGTTCAGAGGCATCATCCCCCTGGAACTGGAGTTGAAGGTGATTGTGAGTCACCTGATGTGGGTACCGAGAATCAAACTTTAGGTCCCCTGGGAGAGCAGTACACAGTCTTAACTGCTGAGCCATCTCTCCAGCCTCATCCCCCCAAACAATCAGAACACGACAAAGAATAATAAAGCCGAGTATGGTAGCACATGTCTGTGATCCCAGGATTTGGGAAGTTGAGGCAGAAGAACCACGAGTTCAGGTTCAGCTTAGGCTATAGAGTAAAACCCTCAAAAAAAAAAAATGAGCTAAAAAAAATGAGGCAAAGCTGCCTGGACCAAAATGAAATAATAATCTCCATATACACTATTAAAAGGAAAAAAAAAGTAGGGGATGGAGAGATGGTTCAGTGGTTAAGAGTACTCGCTGCTCTTCTGAAGGTCCTGAGTTCAATTCCCAACACCCACATGGCAGCTCACAAGAGTCTGATGCCCTCTTCTGGTGTACAGATGTACATGCAGGCAAAGTACCCGTATACATAAAATGCATAAAGGGGAAAAAGTGGTGTGAACACTTACAACATGACATCTTCTAAGTAATTAAAAAAGATGTTCACACATGTTAGTTCATGATCAACAAGCCCTCTAGTGGGGGACTCAGTGGGAGGGGAAGAAAAGAAAAGAAAAGCGTCACGGAATTCTTGTGAATTGTGGCCCATTAAACAAAATATGTGCCTGGAATTTGTAAGCATGCATGCTATGAACAGGGTTTCCCTGGGCAGAAAGACCAGAGCTGCTTCTATTTTCTGGTTTTGCTTCTCAGTGTAGGAAAGCATCCGGGCAGTGGGTCACCAGCCTACTGCCCCAACCGTGCCTGTTGTCCATGGAACCTCAGCTCACACACTTCACTGCTGCACAGTGTTCCCACGACCTCTGCCCACGTGGGTTAGGTAGGATGCTCCTTCCCTGTCTGTCCCAGTGGGGGCACCTGTTTCCCAGCAAGCTCCAGGGAGGTCCTGCATCCTCAATAATTCTGTGTGGTAATGGAATGGCTGGACACAAGTGAGGAGGAGGGCAAAAAACCAGCATCAACCTCCAGACAGGGGACCCAAGGGAGACTCGGGTGAAGAGGCCTTCTTCAGCTGGCCTGAGGACAAGGAGAGGACCCAGGCCACCTTGGGGAGGCAGCTGTCATGCTCTATGATGGGACTCACGTGCAGGACTAGTGTGCTCCTTGTCACCCGGTCCACAGGCTTGTAGAGCAGATCTGTGGAGAGACACGCGGGGGGACATATGATCACACCTGGGGAAGACAAAACGCTTACCTGCCCACTGGTGCTGCAAGGCCAAGAAGATGGAAGAGAAGTCCCACCTCCCCTCTGCAGGGCCATGAGGGCAAACTTGGGATCTGTCTGCCATACTACCGGCTCGGAGTTTAGGGCTGCTGCTCAGGGCTGGGCCACTGGAAAGGCTCAGTATGGATGCATGGCTGCCTTGGACTGTCTAAGAGGATGGTGAGGGCCCTAGTCCTACCCTGTAGCAGACCAGGATGTGGCTCTGAAAGTCCATGGCCTGGATCTGGGATGGGCAGAAGCCAAATAGAGCTCTGCATCTGGTGGCTGCTCTGGGATGGGAACACATCTGGGGACACCAGGGCCAGCCCTGGCCATCTTTGCTTCTCCCACACAGTGATGAACATTGTAGACATGAGCACAGACTCTTAAGTCTTCCTAACATGCCAGGTACACTTCTTTACATAACTTCCATGACTGCTACTGGACACACACTGCTGTCTCTGTTTTATAGATAGACAGGGAAACTGGGGCTCAGAAGGGCTAGGGGGAGAGCTCTGGGAAAAAGAACTATATCCACTGTTCATTACTACTCCTGTTCACACCAGCCTAACTCTTCTCCTGTTCACACCAGCCCAGCAATTCAAGCAAGAAACAACTTACAACTTTTTGATTAGTACAGGCAGAGGTTAAACACATGTTCCAGGGCTCAACCCTTACCTGCCTACCCACCTGCACTCCACACAGGTACTTTATGTGATGATGCCCTTGCCTTGTTCTCTGTTACTGATAGTTGGTGCGCTTTTGCTTTGAAACATAACTGGACTCTGCCCCCATGAATGAATTCATCTATATATGGATTATCAAGGAAGTAGCTTTGCTATTGATTTGAACTATCTCTTGCATACTTGTTTGCCTTGCTGTGTGATGGCCCATGTTGTCTTGGGACTCTGCAGAGTCCCCACTGGCATGAGTGCCCTTACTAGATGCAACCGCTTAACGTTGAGCCTTCTTATCCTTTTATAAGTTGTGTGTGCTTTGTGTGTGTTACTTGAGATTGAGCACAGGGGCTGTGTATACCATCAAGCTATAGCTCCAGAACAAATAAACCTTTATTCTTTATAGAGTGCTTGGTTAAGCCATGTGTGGCGGATCTTATTAGGGATCCCATCACCTGGGAGGCTGAGTCAGGAGGATAGCAGTGAGTTCCAGGCAAGTCTGGAGCACAGTGTGAAACCCTGTCTCAAAGACCAATGAAATAAATAAATAAAATAAAATAAAGAACTTAGTGGTGCTACTCAGTGGCAGCAATAGAAATTAGACTAATACCTACAAATGAAGAGAAAATGCAACTGCCTTTCAGGGCCAGTGGAGCAACATGATGATATTCTTAGAAGGTATTTAAGGGGGTTGGAGGGATGGCTCAGCACTTGAGTGCATGTTGCTAGTCAGGCGGTGGTGGTGCACGCCTTTAATCCCAGCACTTGGGAGGCAGAGGCAGGTGGCTCTATGGGTTCGAGGCCAGCCTGGTCTATAAGAGCTAATTCCAGGAGAGTCCTCAAAAAATCAAAAAGAGAGTGCATGCTGCTCTTCCCACGGTCACCTGTAACTCCAGCTTCAGGGGATCCAGTGTGCACAGTCTCCTTCCATAAAACTCTCTCTCTCTCTCTCTCTCTCTCTCTCTCTCTCTCTCTCTCTCACACACACACACACACACACACACACACACACACACAATTAAAAATCATTTTAAAAAGTATTTTGGGGGACTGGAGAAAGACTCAGTTGTTAAGTGCACTTGGTGCTCTTCCAGAAGATCTAAGTTCAGATCCTAGCACCCACAACCACCTGCAACTCCAGCACATGGGAAATCCACTGCCTCTGGCCTCCATGGGCCAAACCGCACTCACGTGCACATACCCACACATAGACATACACACCCAGTATTTAGTAACAACAACAAATAATAGCTGATATTAGTATTTGGGATCTGGAGCGGTGGCTCAGTGGTTAAGAGCACTCGCTGCTCTTCCAGAGTCCACGGACTTGCTCCCCAGCTCACGCTTGCCTGCCTCTGACTCCAGTTCAAGGGCATCTAATGCCTTCTCCTGGCCTCTGGGTACTGCACACACACAGTGCACATACATACATACATATATACATTCATACATACCTCATACATACATATATTCATAATACCTCATACATACATACATTCATACATACCTCATACATATATACACATAAAACAAAAATTAAAAAGATCTTTAGAAAAAATTAAAAATATTTTTAAATGGGTTCCCACTTGCTCAGACTCGCCCCAAACTTGCTCTCCTCCACCTCAGCCTCCTCAGTATCTCAGACTACAGCCGCATGTCCCCACACCAGGCACAGCACAGCAATGTGTGTATTTACTGTCAGACAGGGTCTCACTATGTATCCCAGGCCAGCCTCAAATGTAAGCTTCTCCTAAATGCCTCCTGAAAGCTGAGATTATAGGTGTGTGCCACTTCATTTGCCTTCCCAGTAAGACTTTAATATGTGATATTTATTATGTGATTCTTTAAAAAAAAAATACTGTGTCTATGTGAGCTGCCATGTGGGTGCTGGGAACAGAAACTGGGTCTTCTGAAAGAGCAGTTAGGGCTTTTAACTGCTGAGCCGTCTCTCCAGACCCTTAATACCTTTTCCATTTTTTTAAAGGTTTATTTATTATGTATATAGTGTTCTGCCTGCATGCCAGAAGAGGGTACCAGATCTTTTTTTTTTTTTCTCTCGAGACAGGGTTTATCATTGTAGCCTTGGCTGTCCTGGAACTCACTCTGTAGACCAGGCTAGCCTTGAACTCTGCCTCCTGTGTGCTGGGATTAAAGATGTATGCCTGGCCCAAGGGCACCAGGTCTTATAAATGGTTGTGAGTCACCATGTGGGTGCTGGGAATTGAACTCAGGACCTCTGAAAGAGCAGTCAGTGCTCTTAACCTCCGAGTCATCTCTCCAGACCTTTATTATCTTTCTAAAGACACAGATTAATTAATTCTGTGTGTGCAAGTGGAATTTGTAGGATAACTTTGGAGAACTGGCTCTCTTCTTTACCATGTGGACCAGGGTCATCAGGCGTGACAGCAAGCCCTTTACCCACAGCCCTACAGTGAACTTGGCAGACTGAGGTACCTGCTAATTCCTACAATGTTCTCCTGGTGTCACGGTTGGTGACCTTATCCTTTCTGCCCTACCCTGTCCCAGGCTGGTCTCTGTTCCTCCTCACTACCTGAAGTCCAGAACTAGGAAGAACTAGGTGACCCAACGAGGTGTAGTGTCTTTCCAACAACATCCCCTCTGTTGGAAGTGGCCACTACCGCAAAGGAAAAGAGAACCCTCTGCAGAGAGAACTCACTTTCCAAAGAGTTCTTGGTGGTGGAGTCCTTGGCATCTCTGTTGCTCCTGGCTCTCAGGTTCTGCAGAGAGAAGAGCACATGCTCACACGGAATGGCAGAAGCAGCTTGGGCACCACAGCCTGAACACAGACAGCCCTGTGTGCAGCAAGCATCAGGGGGCACTCTGAGCCACCAAATGAAGACATGGATTGAGCAATGACCTATGAAAAAGACGAGGACAAAGGGTGTCCCCTAGATGAACGGTTCTCAACCTGTGGGTCGTGACCCCTTTGGAGGAAGATCAACCCTTTCACAGGGGTTCCCTAAGACTATCGGAAAACACAGAAGTTTACATTTGATTCACAACAGTAGCAAAATTATAGTTACGAAGTAGCAACAAAAATAATTGTATGATTGGGGGCCACCAGCATAGGAGGAAATGTACTAAAGGGTCAAAATATTAGGAAGCTTGAGAACCACTGCCCCGAATGCTCCCTTAAGACAAGGTTTCTCAATCTCAGCACCGAGGGGTCAGAAATTCCTTGTCCCGAGTACCTGCCCTGTGAGGCTGCCGCAAGCCACATCCCTGGTCGCTATCTATGAGTGTAGTTAACAATCCAGTCTCCTGCCCAAGGCTCCTGTGGGAACAAAGTCATCTACAGATGGGGACCCCGAGATGGAGACTTCTGCACAAAGTGCTTACTAAGGGCAGCTGAACAGCATTCAAGGAGCTGGTCATTCTGAAAAGTCCCCACTCACCTTTGGTGACGGCCAGTGCAGTAGGGGTAGGGGTGGGGCACCCCCAGACGGATAGCATGTTTTACTTTCAGCCAGTCTCATGATTGGACATGCACATACATACTCATTATAATGTGCAAATGAATTGCTTTATTACAAAGGGATGTGTCCCCCAAAAGGCCCGTGTACTGGGAACATAAACCCCTACCAGACACACTGAGCTTGAAGTTGGGATCTTTAAGAGGTAGTTGGATGAGGTCATGAGGGCACACCTCAAGTGAGTTAGTCTGCCTGTTCTGTCCTGACATGTGACACCCTGTCCTGTGATGATCTAGCGAGAAGATCCTCAACAGAGGAACCTCAGTGTGGTCAGGCTTCTCAGCCTCCAAACAAATACATTTCTAGTCTTTACAAAGGACACAGCGAACAGTTTGTAGTAGTGATGGAGAAAAGATAAAGGCATCTTGAATCCGACCCTGGGCCTTGGGTAACAGCCCTGTGAGGACCGCTCCTGTTGAATCACAACGGTGTCCTGCGAGGGAGATGACCCAGCCGACTCTGAGTCAGAGCTGGGGTTCATACCCAGCCTTTAATCTGGTATACTTTGTTCTCCTAACAACCAGCCCACAGCCCATGGCAGGAGTGGGAAGATACGGGTGGGAGCCGGCAGCGCTCTGGCCTGCACGGCGTCAGGGTGCTCCCTCATTACCTCAGATATTTCTGCAAACTGACTGTTGGCCTGACAGCACTTCTCTGCCGTTTCCATGGCCACTCCATAGTTATCCACGAAGGCTCGGTACACACCCAGCTGGCTGGCCTGCGGAGAGGAAGGAGGGGAGGGTGAGACAGAGGTGGGAGAGGGAGTTGTTCCCTGCCTCCCTGAGGATTGGGCTCGTGAGCATTGCTCTGGAGAGAACCCAGGTAAGAGACAGTACGCGGGGTGCAGGAACGTCAGCTCTTCCCTCCCACCTGCTTCACCTCCCCACACACCGAGCACGATTCCCTCTCTGAAAACGACATGTTGAGAAGTGAGTCACAGCCTTGAACAGGTAATGGTTCCCTTCAGAGATCCTTATTCCTCCCACCCCAAATGCAACAAAGGGTGTCACGAGGAGCAGCTTAAACTTGAGGTGAGAATGCAGATAAATGCTTCCATGCAGGTGAGATGGAGGAGGCCACCCTGGTAACCGTGGTGTTGTGCTCGTTTCTGATCCTGTCAGGCAGGTAAAGAACAGTTTGGCTGACCAGAAAGATGAGCTCCCACGACTAGCTGCCTTTCCCAGACTCCACAGGGGTACCCGGCTCTTATATACCCGGCAGGTGGAAAGCCTGCCAGCCGCGAGGTGAGAGACATTTTGTTTGTTCTTTATGTGATTGAAGACATGAATAGAGGGTTTCCTCGCTGGGCTTCTGTTCAGACACGCCCTAAATTAAGCCATGGTTTCCATGGGTAGATGGAGTGGGAGGGGGGGTCACCACCATGGTTATTTCTGGGTCTCACATCGTTTTGGGGCAGCAAGGAAAAAGCTAGTGCTCACATGGAGCAACATGTGGACACACGCTGGGAAGGGCTGAGCCTCCCACAGCGGCTGCCCAGGAGCTAGAAGCCTGATGCATTTGCTGTTCCTGGACTTTTTCTCTGTGTGGAATGTCATTTCCATGAGCATTTGCATTTATATGAGCATTCCTACTTCCAGGGATGACAATCCCAGTTGCTAGATAAAACCAGGTGCCCCTGGATAGGCTGGGCCCGAACTGGCTGTGTTCCCATTGGGCTTGCACAGAAGGTATGGGGTGCTGGAGGAAGGACTGGAAGACACCCCGCTCAGCTCCTACACTTTTAACTACCCCAGAGAAGTGGCTGCATCCTTGAATTCCAGGCTGTCCGTAAGACCCAAAGCATTGCCTTTGCTGCCTCGACCCCCTCCTTCTTTGCAGACCACTGAGTAAGGGCTTCCCAGCTGCCCTGGGGCTCATGATGGCCTCTCTGGAGAGGAGTGGCTTGCAGTCTGGAGAATTTTGGTAGGGAACCACGTTCACAGCTTAAGGGGCTTATATCTTTCAGGTATGAGAAATTCTGAAAAAAAAAAAATGATGTTTTTGGTAACCAAAAACTGGAGCTGCACAGTAACAGCAAAAATGGAGATGGCCAGTATCTAGTCAGGATGTCCTGTGATGGACACGGATCCCTACTGTGGTCATTCTTTACCAGAAAGGTCTGAAGGCATAGCTGACAAACTCAAAGCAGCCTGGGCCCTTCAGAAAAATGTCAGTTCGAGGCACTAAGATAGACACAAGGTTGCTAAAGACACATCCTAGCCAAACACATATACAACATAAGGACAGAACTGGATCCTCCATCAGAGAGTGAGTAGGGATGAGGACATCAAGCAAAAACAAAACCCCATGCACTGAAAGCAAACCTCAGGAAAGGAACTTCTGTACCCACTGCTTTAACCCAGGAGTCCAGGGCTCTCAAGAAGGTACCAAAGGTGGAGGAGGTTCATATAACTCCTTACTCCATCCATGGAAGGTAACGGGATGTAAAAAGCCTTCCAGAAACCCTTATTCTGTTGTCTAACAGAATATTTATTTATTATTCTAACAGAATAAGAATAAAAAAAGTAAGAGAATGGTAAAACCCCAGAGACAAAAGGTAGACAGGTTAAGAAAAGCTGGCAAGAAATTATTATTAAATTTTTATTAAATTTATTATTAAATAATAAATAAATAATAAATTTTCTTGTTCTGTTGTCTAACACCTCTTGTCCTTTGGTTTTTATGCCTCATGGCAGACAAATGTACTCTTTTATGAGAAATATCCTCTTTCCTTGCTGAATAGCTTTGAAAACAGTACCTGGTATACAGGGCCGTCTGTCTCAGTGCAGGTAAGACGGTGCATGCCCCTTGGGCACACCTTCTGCCCCTTTGTGTCAGAGACCCAGCTCTGTAGGAAGCCACCTTCCTCACAGCCTGTGGCTGTCACCTGGTCCATGCTTCTCTATGGAGGCTCCGAGTCACACCCCCCGTTCTCCCTTTGCTTATTCACTCCGCTGGCCTAGGTTGTTTCCATAAATTCCTGGGCTCAAGCAATCTTATGCTTCAGCCTCCCAAACAGCTCAGATAGGTTACCACTGACCCAGACATATACACTTCGATCATCTCTAGGTCTAATCCAATGTCATCTCTACATAAATAGCCGTTACGCTGGATTGTTTAGGGACCAATGAGAAGGAAAAGCCTGTGCATGTTTAGTATATACAGAAGTTTTTCAGCCCTTGGTTAGCTCAGTCTGCACGTGAGAACCTGCAGATGCAGGAGCTGACTTGTAATCAAGCCCCACACTGTGCTTTCCCGTGCAATCCCCTCCCCAGCCACACCCTGTTCTCCACTAAGAGCCCAGCGTGCTGGGCAGCAAAGCCATTTTGGTCCCAAAGGCAGCCTGATCTGTGTGGACACTGGAGACCCCAAGCAAAACTGTAGGAAGCCAAGAAGAAGAAGACATCGTACTCACCGGACTCCGGCTGGGTTGGCAATGTGTCCCTCAGCCTCTTTCTCCCAGTGGCCTGCCCTTTGGTACTAAAGAGACAAACCCCAGGCTCTCCTTTTTTACTGTCTCCTTGTGGCACAAGCCCATGGGACAAATCTAGTCACAAGTGCCAGCATGTCCAAGTCACTCACCAGCTTCTGGAAGAGGTCACCCACACGCTGTTGGTGGCTCCATTGCTGCACGCGGGGGAACAGCCCGTCGTAGAACTCCTTGTGGATCTCATAGAGCTCAGGTACTTTGAAGAAAATGGTCTCGATCTGCTGGCTGGTCAGCACCGGCTGCGAGGTGGTGGCAGCGGCTTTCAGAGGCTTCATGGGCTAGAGAACGGCATAGGTGAAGTGATGAGGTGACAGGTTTTACCATTGGCTAGATGCTTCGCGGTGGTTACGCGACATAGACTTTATTTCTTTGGTGTCATAATCAGGTCCAAGAGGGACCTTGGGCATGGCGGGCAGACAAATGCTCTACCACTGAACTACATCCCGGCTTGACCATTTTCAAATTCCAAGGAAAAATTAAAAGCAAGGGGAAACCTGGCAACAGAGGCCTTCTGTCAATATCTCCCAGCTTCTAGAGAAGTTCAGATGTCTGGAGAGAGGTGGGAGGTGAATCCCAGCAGGGCGTGCTCACCAATAGCAGAGCCTCCAGGTGGCTCAGGTACGTCTCCTCGCTGGCCAGGATTCCCGAGAGAACCCACTTTCTCATCTCCAAGCCCTTTTCCAAATCCAGCTCACTCTGCAGGAAGAGAAGCAGAGACATCAGCTCCCCGCAAAGAACAAACCGGAGACAATCCACCAAGAAGGACGAGGAAGGGCCCAAGAGCCCTGGTACCCATTTAGCCATCGTAGTTACTCGTCACTAAAATCTGGAAGGCCATCCACTTTAGGACGGCCTTAGCCCCCACAGCCTAGGAAAGGAGACGTTGGATGCTAAGAGGTTGCAGGACCTCCTCCCTTCCTGCCTTGTGCCTGGGACCATGGAGTGGCTGCCTTCCACACATGGAAGGAAAAGGAGGTTCTGACCCGAGGTGAGCATGGCATGCAGGAAGCCCAAGGGATGCTCCAGGAGGGCTGAGCTGGCGTACATCGGAGCCTACTGTCTGTCCATCTAGACTTCTGCTATCAAAAACATCTGCTGCTCCTTGCCCTTCACCTGAGGTGTGCCTCACCTGGGTTTCCTGACTGTCACAGACACTTAAATCTTGGACCAACCAGGCTCCTAGGCAGCAGCACCCCCTCCTTCCTCAGCATGCTGTCCTTCCTAGCCTTGACTGTTGCAGCTGTGTGTCACCTGGGAAGAGTGGTCCCCCCCGCCCACCCCCACCCCCACCCCCGGGCTCAGGACTTTTGTCTCACTCAGCTTTCTCTAACCTTGCTGTAGGGATGCTCTTGCAAGCAGGCTCTAGGCAAAGCACCCAAGCTTTGTCAACTTCCTAGATGAAAACTGTGACGCTCTACTGCCTTTGTTTCAGCAAGCCAGAGCGGACACATTGTTGGCTGTTGACATAGGGGTGCAAGTGCATAACCTGGAAGACCATGCGCTGATGTCAGCTGATGCGGACTGAAGTGTGTCACATCCCCCCATTCCTATAGTGAAGTCCTGAGCCCCATGGCCTGAGGATGTGACTGTATTTAAAGAAGCTGAAATGAAGTCAGAAGAGTGGATTCTAAGCCAGTGTAACTCGTATTCTGTAAGAACTGGAGTATATGACAGACACACATGGAAGACGTTTGGTCCAGCTGTAGCGAGGCATAGCCATTCACAGATTCAGGAGAGAGGACTCAGAAGAAAACAACCCTGTGACAACTTGAGCTCAGCCTCCCAGCCCCTAACGCCTATGAGACAGTACATTTCTGTTGTCCAAGCGGCCCGGCTTGTGGTGTTTTCGCCTCACAAAGCAATAGTGATGGCAGTGCCAAAGGCAACAAAAAGTGCCGCTGGACTTCCTGGCCACTCCCTGCTTCACTCCCCAGTCACAAGTGATGTCAGAGGCTGGCCATGCCCATGGAACCACTGTGTGGCACCTGGCCAACCAACCCCACCTACAGGCAGAGGGAGATGCCAGTAAGGGGAGGAGCCCCACATCCATGGAAGGTAATGGGATATTAAAAGCCCCGCCCACCTCTCCAGTTTCCTAGCTCAAGAGCAAACTCACAAGAGCCCTATTACCCCAGCTCCTGGGCTTAGAACGGGAGCAGGGACCCTTCCATGACTCACTTCCCTAAATCATTAACGGAAAATGCCCGCAATGCTGACGTCTTGGGCTGAAGGGCAATCCTATACAATATGATGCTGACCTGCATCCTGCTCTTACTTCCCACATGTGGTGGCCACAAATGTCTGGATAGTAGCGCTTACTGCCTGGGGTCTGTATAACCCCTAATGAGACTGGGCTCAAGGAAGGACCTGTCTGGGGCCAGCTCAGGCCTTTGGGGGCCTCTGCAGTTGGACATTAGGACCCTCTGTGTCATAATAACTCCACTGGTCCTGTCCAGCTCCCTAGTCCTGTAAGAGGGAAGTATTTCATGGGTTAGACTGCGAGGTCATCCAGAAGAGCCCAGGGTCAGGAGCCTACGTTGCTCAGGGAGTCCCACCCTCACCTGGATCCCTGGGGGCTTGATTCACATTGTCACTGCCATCTGATTTCCTAAGAAACTTTCTTGAGTTATGGCTTTATAGCGCGCGCGTCACGCACATGTGTGTGTGTGTATCTAAGCTGTGAACATGCAAATGTGTGTAGGTGGCAGCCACTGCAGCTCTATAGTGTGTGCGTGCATGTATGCATGTGTGGATATGTGTGGATCTAAGCTGTGAACATGCAAATGTGTGTAGGTGGCAGCCATTGCAGCTTTATAGTGTGTGCATGCTTGTGTGCATGTGTGTGTGTATATCTAAGCTGTGAACATGCAAATGTGTGTAGGTGGCAGTCACTGCAGCTTTATAGTGTGTCGTGTGTGTGTGTTTGTGTATCTAAGCTGTGAACACGCAAATGTGGCAGCCACTGCTCCAAGGAACTAACCCACCCAAATGGGTCCCCTTCAGCAAACACCAGGCAATAGCTTCCACAGATAGGAGCCTCCAGGGCACAGCTGTGCCTGAACTTGGAAATTCCTGTGCTTGGAACATACAGTGCTCAGTTAAGATTCCTTTCACCATTAAATCTAAAAGACCTGGCCAGGTCCTAGTTTGGGCCTCATCTTTATGAAACCCCAAGGGCCCCTTTGGAGTCTCGGTATTCTTGCTGGGAAACAAGCAGGTCCCAGAAATCCAGGACTGTCAGCTGAGCTCGTTAATCACTGCCCATGGGGCCCAAATATGCAGGATTTGATGGCGTGGTGCCCAGGTCTCAGCCCAGTGCAAACGGCAGGTCCTCGGAGAAGCACTTTTCTCTTGTCTCTGCACAGCCTCCCACTGTGTAGACAAAGCACCTACCCCACACGAGGGAAGAGATCAGGGAAATGGCAGGCCTTCTGACAGCAGCAGCCACCCCCTACACCCAGCTCTCCTGCTCTGAGAACAATCTTGCTACTGCCAGCTCCAGAGGGACGGTGGGGTCTGGGGAGGTCAGCAGGGCCAGTGACAGCTCTGCCCAGCATAAGCTGCTGCTGCCTGCATGGATGGAAGTGCCTGGTGGAAGCCTGGTGCCTCATTCCACCCACGCAGTTTGGAAAGCCAGGAGGAAAGACTGTGCAAGCAGGATGGCGCCAAGTCCGGTTCTCCTTATTCTAAAGGGTGAGGCTCTCTGGCCCAGAAGTGGTGCTGCGGTGGACGGAGACAGGCCACGAGAAGAGGAACCTTAGACGGACAGTCTTTTGGGGATCAGAACAGTGCTGGCGGCAACACAAGCAGCCCACTCTGCCTCACCAAAAGGAAATGGGGCATGGAAGAAGACAAGGACAATGGGCTGAGCTGGCACCTACAGGCAGGGAGGTTCCTTCTAGGAGAAAGCTGGGCAACTGGAAGAAGCCCTTATGCCTAACTGGAGTTCAGAAACAGGAAACCAAGAATGGAGAGAAACAAACTAGGCTCACAGTGACAAGGTGACAAATGCTACCAAGCCCACAGGTGAGCTGAAGGCTGGTCCATTAGGAAGTCTTTCAAGACTCCTCTCAGAGGAGCCCACTGGCCAATCAGGCAGGGTGCAGCTTTCTCTGCTCTGTAAGTTCAAAACCAGCATAGCAGCTGGTTCTAGTCAGAGTAATAGCCTAGCTACGGCCCCAGAGGCGAGCTTGAAAGCACTCTGAAGGCCTGACTTTCACAGCAGACTAGTCCTCCAGAAGGGGAGATCCCACAGCACGCAGACCTGGCTCTGCCTCAGTAAACCCACTGAAGACCTTGTTGTTCCTAGGGTCAGGGGTGCCAGGTCTCTGCCCCACCACAAACAATACCTACCTAACTCCTTGGGGGTGGATGCGCCCAGAGATCCCCCGAAACCCAGAAGCTCCACAGAGCTTATGTGTTGCCATGACATCCCCTGAGAAGCGCTCTTAATGCTCAGTAGCCCAAAAGGTGTGAGCCTGGCAGCAGGGAACAAACCTGGACTTGGGAGGTAGAAGAACCTTAGGCAGCAGGGTGGGGTGCTTCTGACTTCAAACCCACCACATTCCCTAAGGAACCTAAGAAGTGAAATCAGAAAGCGAAGGCGGTGCCTACCACCAGCACCAAGATGGGCGTCTACCCTTAGGGTCGTATGCATTAGATTAAGCACCTAACTGGAGGGCTGCTGGAACAAGACTAGGTGACATGTCAACCCTCCTCCTTCAGGACACATCCCACCGCCTGCCCTGGCAGAACACTTGGGGGAACTGTAGAGCCCTACGTATGTGCAGATGTGTAACATCCTGCTAAAAAACGCAACATGGGTGGTGTTTTATGGACTCTTGAGGGGGCTGGAGAAGGCAGACAAGGTTCTGCATGGAACCTACAGGGATGAGCCCCTGAACTGGGTGCTACATCAGGAGAGTAGCAGGATAGAGGCCAACCTGGATAGGGCTTGAGGTACAGAGAGGCAGATCAGCTCCTCTCAAGTGATGGCTGGACAGGGACATAAGCAACAAGGAGCAGGCAGAGGCCACACACTGGCTTCCTTCCTCAGTCTCAAATTTCAGAATGAGGAATCTGTTCAGCAACAGCGCCATTAGAAATCACAGGCCCATAAAAAGAAAACGGTCTTTCAACAAAGGCATCATCATCAGAGCAAAGCAACTATGGAGGAAAGACACATTTCCTGGGCTTTATTACAGCAATACGGGAAAGTGTGACGCTGGCGGTGGAAGCCAGGGCCAGGTGTACGCTGGGCGTGAACTCTAGAAACTGAGCCATGATCCCAAGGCCTGTTCTCATTCCTATGCTTATACCCAGGGTAGAAACCATCCAAACCCAAGGTAAGCAGAGGGGCTGAAAAGACAAAAGAGCCAAAGATGAGGAGGAGAAACTGCTCCGGAGCAACAGAGATCACTCAGCCCAAGAAGGAAGAATGCAAGATGTGAACGGAGCTGTCTTCATCGTTGCCCTGATAACACACACACCAGAAAGGGGCAAGTTCTGGGATGAAGGGCTTATTTGGCTCACACTCACAAAGTCAAGGTGGCTAGCCCCTTAGGCTACCAACCCAGGGAATAATGCTGTCCAGCTGTGTACAGTGAGCAGGTAGGTCCTTTTACATCACTTAGCATAATTAGATACCCCCCCCTCATAGGCTATCCGAATCTAGACAATCTCCGCTGAGACACTCTTCCAATATGATCCTCACTGTGTCACACTGACCATTAAAGTCATCACAGGTGGTGCCCTTGCTCCAATGGCAAGAGGAGCACATCCCTGCCTCAGTACACCACTGAGAAAGTCACCTGCAACAATATCCTAGCCACAGGTCCACAGAATGGCTCAGGACACTGTGCTGGTTGGGAGGACTCACTCTGCAAACTGCCCTGTCCAGCCTGCAAGCACCTCAGAGTGATGTTCCTGAAGAAGGCTGGACCACCAAGGATGCTACTTGGAAATGTGGTTAGATCATCTTTCAGATGTCCCATTACTCACTAGTCACATGACCTGAGAGAAAGCCAACAACTGACCTCAGCTACACATTGGTGACATGAAGGTGACCCAAGGCAAGTCCCTTAGGACTGTTGGTTAAGTGGGAACTCACCGGTAAAGACCTTGATCAAGCCAAACCACTGTCAGCACCTCCTCTGTTGAAAAGCGAGTTAGTATAATACTCCTTGAGCACAGGACCAGGGCTAACTAACATCAGGACCAGGGCTAACATCGGCCTAGCCGAGCACTACCGCTAGGGCCACCATGCAATTCCTGCTTGCTTAGGTAGCGGCCTCTGGCATGACTATTCTTAGCTTCAAGAACCCATGCAACTCACCTCTCTGAGTTTACAAAGCAATCCATGACCTCCCTGAAGAATGTATGCAGAGGGCTGTCACCCTCTACTTGACATATGTCAAGAAAACAGTTTTCTGTGGTTTGTCTAATGGTGCCATCACCTCTTTGTGACATGTCTCTGAACTAGGAACTGCCTTTCAGAAGGCCTGTCCATAGAAGCTATGACCTTGTCCAGAGCGGAGCTCAGTGCCCCACGTGGATTTCACATTTACCCCACACTCTCGGCGGCAGGTGGACCTCCCGGACTCACCGCTTTGCTGGGCTCCAGGGCTCCTGAGGCCAGAGCGTCGCGGCTGCCTCTGCCTTTGCTGCTGAGGTGTGGAGAGGAGGAAGGCGAATCATCGATGTAGGGCAGCCCATCCTGGTGCCGGCGCTGCTCCTCGGCCTGGTCTGCGGCACAGCCGTACCCAGGTGGTGTGCCAAACGAGGAATCTGTGTGTACAGAGAAGCGACCGTGTAAACGAGAGCCAAAGGGCCATTTCAGGGGCATCTACGGCTCACCTGTCCACGCAAGGACCCGAGCTGACACTATCTCCGCCGCAAATTGGCATCTCTCGGGGGTTTTAGGTACAAGGCCACCAGTCTCAAGACCTACTACTAGCCAAAGACACAGGGTGAGAAGGGGTATCCAGAAAATACAAGAGTAGCCAAGACTGTCCTTGGGAAATGGGTGGTATAGTGGATAAACAGGTAACATCTGATCTTGGTAAGCACACACACACTTTTCTAGGACATGGCTCCTAAGACCATTAGGCGCTCCAAAATGACAACTATATTTCATGTTTGTGAGATGATTGGGTAGCTCAGGATGGGGGTTGGTTTGTTGGGGAGAGTGGAAGGGAGGACCGAGATTACGGTTAGAGAGTTGCAACTTTCAGTCATGACCCCGGCCCTCTAGGGAAAGGAAGGGGGCTGAAGCCTGAGCCGATCATTTGAGGCCAGTGGCATAATCCGTCAAGCCTATAGAATGAAACTTCTAGAGAAACCTAAAAGGCAGGGTTGGGAAAATGTCTTGGCCACTGAGTCCCAGGAAAACACTCTAGGCCACCCCACCATATAACTCGCCTCATGCCTCTCTTTCCTCTCACTCGTTCTGAGTGGTTCCTCTTCTGTTTTATTTTTAATCAGAAACTGAAAGTCTAGTTAGGAAACTGTTTCCCTACCTTCTGCCACCAGCCATCCCTGCATCGACGACAGAGTTATGAAAGATGGGTTGTGAGCTGCTCCTCCTCCCTTTCCTCATTTATATGGTCGAAGAGAATCCCGGGGCTTGGAGGTGGTAGAGTGAGGGGGAGCTGGTATTATAGGGCTGAGCCCTTAACCTGTGGGACCCTGTACCATCTCCAGGAAGATGATGCCAAACCGGAGCTAACGCTGCACTATACCCAGGTGGCATCCCCAGGAAACTTAAGGGTTTCTGGGTGTGGAGGAAATTAGGTCATAGAAGTGTTCTGTTGAAGGCGATGAGAAGACACACAGGGGCTCATCATATGGGGAGGGGACCTGGATAGAAGAACCCCAAATGCAAGGATACCCTTGTATGGTCCCTATATGCCTACCTATGGGGATGCAATGGGCAAAAAGACCACAGTCCTCTGTACTAATTGTTGGCAAACCCAGAAAAAGCTCAACCATGATCCTGGACTGCCCCTGGCCCCACCCTGCCCCATGCTACTATTTATAGTAGTAACCTTTTGCCAAGACCTTCCAGTGAACATACACACAGAGGCAAAATGTGGCCTACCCTTTGCAAAACAACTTCATGCGGACGGTTGGGGCATGTGGTAGGTTAGCATGGGAACCAGCACAGTGCCAGATACCAGACCAGACAGCCAAGCTAGTTACCTGCTAGTCCTCTGGGAAGCCTCTATAAGAATGAGGATGTTAAGCCCGGTATGGTTGCACGCACCTTTAACTCCAACACTGGGAGGCAGAGGAAAGTGGATCTCTGTAGGTCTGAGGCTAGCCTGGTCTACACAGGAGTTCCAGGGCAGTCAGAGATACAAAAGTGATCTTATCACAAAACTTAAGTGAAGGTTAGGGGTGGGAATCAGGGTGCTGGGCCTGGCTGCATTTCAAAGCTCCTGGGTGATGCTGACAGGCAGTGGGGTACACCGTTTAGAGACACAGGATGCTGTGATATCAGCTATCCATGGTTGCCATGTTCACAGTAAGGTCTAGCCTGAGACCATAGGATAGCAGGCCAGTCCAGCGACAAGAACGGGCAACTGTGAACAGTGATTACCAGCAAGGCCTGGTGGTCCTGACCCGAGGAACTCAACCCACAGCCCAGACCCCCTTTATTCCAATCCAATCGCAGCACAAGGACAGAGGGGTCCATTCTGCGAGAGCCCCGGGGCTAGTGAAGTTCCACTTACAGAAAATAACACAGTCCTACAAAGGCACTTCCCACCCCCACCCATACACACCTCAAGGCTGGCTGACAAAGCTTGTTGGCCACCTGTAGCTCCTCTTTGAACCACTCTTAGCTCGAGAGTCCTTCCTTCCAGTTTGCTGAAACAGGGCCTCACGTGTCTCAAGCTGGCCTGTGTCCTCCAACAACTCACTGTGAAGCCGAGGGTGACCTTGAACTTCTGGACTTCCTGTCTCCATCTGTGAGTACTGAGATTCCAGGCGTGCAACCCTCTACTAGATTTCTGTGGTGCTAGGGAGCACACCCAAGGCTGCCTAACACTCTAGCAACTCAAGTACACACCCAGGCCCCAGCTTGCAGTTTTCAGTGGAATTGGACCCCTCACCAGAGACAGCACAGACAAGGGCCCAGTGTCAGCTAAACATTCCTAAGAATCTTGTGACCGTCTTGCTCTTTTCCTAAGGCATCTTTTCAGATGATAATCAATACTCCTCAAGTCGCTCCTCCTGCTACCTGAGTCGCGGGTGACCCAGGAAGTAAGCTGCATCCCACCCTCCGAGGAGCTGGGCATTTGAACTCAGGAGGAACATGGCCATGTTCTTAGCCCTGCCTACCCAGACCACGAAAACAGACCGAGAGGGCCAGGTAACCCATTCATTGTAACATACTGGATTCAAGAGGAAGAGTGTGGGGGCTCTGGGGAGAACTGGGGCTGGGGCGGCAGCTCAGCAGCGGCAGAGCGACACCCCCATATTTACAGACGTGAGAGCAGATCGGACATCCAGCCATGATAGGAAGGTTTCCCCAGCTCCTACCCTCCTCCCAACTCTGCACTCTCTCCAGGGTTGAAGGCAAACTGAAGTTGCACATTGCTGGTGTTGGCTGTTTCTACAGACAGCTATTCACATCCTTGGGCAGGCAGACCTCTCCACTATAGGCTTAGAAATCTGCAGGGCAGGCAGGTTCAAGTCTTACCACAGTTAGAGCCAGTTTTGGACCTGTGATCACAAGCTACAGGCTACAGCCTTCTCCCAGAACCCTATGAATCCCAAGTTGACTACAGCTCGGGAAGATAACCATACACAAGGACCATGAGGTCAGTCACCAACAGGGGTCTTCCTTCAGCTTGGAGCCGTACCTTATATAGTAGCCAGGGCACTACCCGGAACTAAATTTCCTAACAACCGGGAAGCCTCAGGTCTTACAAGAAGCAGGGTGGAAAACACCTACTTGTTACCCTTTGCCAGGCACTGCCCACGCCTCTTCATGGTGTTGCAATCTTTCGCACATTCTGTGGATGTATGCAGACACCTCGGTGGGCATGGATTTCCAGATCACCATTTTTCTGACAGAGTTTTGGAGCCTGACTACATTCAAGTCCACCTATGACTATTGTAATTTAAAACCCTGTAAGATGCAGGGAGTTCCATCACTGATGACGCAACAGCCAGCAGGTCCTGAGGGTGCATACAGCGTGCCTGGGGTCCACACGCAGAGAGGTCAGGGAGTATGGAGAGAGAAACTAGGAAGGAGGAGCAGGAGGACATATCAATGCATCAGCCTTATTGGTCCAGGGTGGTATCCAAACATTTTTCTAATGGGGTTTTAATTGGTAGGTTTAAAGCACACTGGCACTATTGGGGTGTCACTAAGGCCTAGCTTCGCCATCTGTGTGACATGTGGGGTTAGGATGGCAAATTTAGTTGGTCTATCCACCTGATCTAGTATCACCTAGGGAAGTGGTCACTGGGAGGCGGTTATAAGGCAGATGTTGCAGGAACTGGAAGGAGGTGGAAGGCGGGAAATTGTGAAACAATTGCACAACTGGAAGAGTGACTGAGACCTGCTTGTAAGGGGAGGAAGCCCACTTATGCTAAATATAGATGCCAAAGCAGCACAGAATTGAACTTCATGAGCAGGGAAAGAAAGTCTGCTGAGTGTAAGCAAGGCGCTTGGTACGTACGTGTACACACACACACACACACACACACACACACAAACACACACAGAGCCTGTTGAAATAGGCTTGTTATCCCATCACTGAAGAAGCTAATGCAGGATGATTATAGGCTCAAGGCACGCCTGAACTATGAGGTGACTTCAAGGCCAGTCTGGGCAACATAGTTTGAGACTCTATCTCAAAATGAAGGGTAAAGGGGGGCGGATCTAGAGATACAGTTTAGCATCCTGAGGCCCTAGGCTTGACCTCGAGTGTCTATTATTGTCACTTTCCAAGCACACTCCAAAGAGACGGTATTCCTAAAATCCTGGGCTGATAACCACACAATCCAGCAATTCTATTACCTACGTGACCAAGGAGACTGGAAAGTTGTTTATGCTGATGTTTAAACAAACACTTGTGTCGTGATGTTCACAGAAAGCGCTGTTCACAACAGTCAAGGAGCCGCAAGTGGCAGCGGCGGGAAGCTTGCCTGGCACGCGCACAGCCTGGGTAGAGCCCCACTGCTGGCAAAACCCAAGAGTGAAGTTACGCCCTGGTCAAAGAGTGGAATCAATCCAAATACTCATTTTCTACAAAGTCTATGAGCTTTAAAGGAAAGATGTTCCGACGTCAGCTACAAGATGGATGACCCTCGAGGATGCTATGTTCCGTGGTCAGAGACACTGACAGACAGAAAGGGTCACACATCACGGTACCATTCACACGGTCCAGCAGGTACGTGGAAAGTTACAGGAAGTAGGGCAGTCACTGCTTTGTGATTGTGAGGCTTGGGAATTAGGGGATGGGGAACTGTGGAACCAAACTGTGGATTCTATGTCAACCGGACCCAAGCTAGAGTCATCTGAAAGGAGGGACTGAGAAAATGCCTCCATAAGATCTGGCTGCTGGGCATTTTCTTAGTGATTGATGTGGGAAGGCCTGGGTGGTGCTGTCCTTGGGTTAGTGGTCCTGGGTTCTGTAAGAAAACGGGCTGAGCAAGCCACGGAGAAAGTCAGTAAGTGACCCCTCCATGGCCTCTGCATCAGCTTCTGCTTCCAGGTTCCTGCCCTGCTTGAGTTCCCGTGGTGACTTCCTTCAGTGATGAACAGCGATGTGGAAGTGTAAGCCAAATAAACCCCTTTCTCAACAACTTGCTTTTAGTCATGGTGTTTCATCGCAGCAATAGAAACTCTTAGATTGCTAGTTAAAACTGAATGGATAACACCCAACTGCTTATTTTAAAATAATTAATTCTAAGTTAGACCTAGTGGTTTAGGTCTGACTCAACACACACACACACACACACACACACACACACACACACACGGGGGGGGGAGGGAGGTGTGGGCACACAATGATTTTCATGTTATATGAATTTTCCCTCAATTAAAAATAAATTGGGTGCACAGCACCATACTCCATGCCCGCGGTTCCTTAGGGAGCTTACAGCAGGAGGCTTGCAGACAGCTTAAGCTACATGAGTCATTGTCTTAAAAAAATACAAAACAAAAAACCAAATCTAACAGTTTTCTGAAGGCCAAGAGAACTATTCAAAATAGCCAAAAGAACCAGCCAGTTGGTGTCGTAACCCCAGGCAACCCCGAGCAGCAAATGGCCACTGAGCTTTCTGAGATAGTTGCTGGTTTCAGTGGATTTTCTACTTTCTCCTCCTCTGATAGGCTGGCAGCTGTCCCTCCTGCTCTGACAGACAAGTACATCAAAACTCTTGATAAAGGGAACATCCCTCACCCACTTGGCTATAATGCAATGCCTTTAGGAAGAGGGCCACCGTGAGCACCGCAATCCTGGGTCTCTTGGCCCTTGCACCGCATCCCCAAAAATGGCATCATCATTTTTGGCCAGTTCCCAAGC